ACACATGCGCACACCCATGCACGTGAGCCCACACGCACACACACTCGTGCATGAGCCCACATGCTCACACATGCACACACGCATGCACATCCATGCACATGAACTCACACGCGTGCACACACAGGGACACAGCACTGACGCAGCCGACCCTGCAGACCCTGCTGACACGGAGGCCCCCTTGCCTCTGCAGCCCACAAGAGGGCGCCATGGCCGCCGGACCGTGCACAGGACAGCATCCGAGTGGAGCCAGGAGGGAGTCTAGGTGGCTGTGGCCACGGCTCTGTCACCAGCGGGGCACCCAAGCCTCACACTCCCGTGTGCAGGTGAGGACGGTGGCACCCGCGTGTCCGTGTCTGTGTCACTGCTCCCGGGGGGGCCTTGTGAGCACCAAGCACTGGTGTGTGGCTCAGGTCCCCTGTGGGTGTCACCCCAGGAGGTCTGGGGGCCCAGGGCAGACACAGAGCTGGGATGTGCCAGGCAGCTGTGGGAGAGCACAGGCCATGCCTCCTGCATCTGAGGACGGCACCCGGCCCAGGAGGTCGCCCCGGTGCTCGGCTCTCCTCGCTGAGGCTGGCGATGGACTGGCCCAGCGTCCCGTCAGCCACCTCGGCTGCATGCTGGGTTGTGGCTTCCGGAGCCAGCGCCTGTGTCCCCGGGACCCCTGGCTGACCCCGCAGCGTGTGGGGTTTTCTATTTCTGTCCTTCCTGGCCTTGTCCTTAACTGCAGGGCAGCGCTGCGGGGAGACTCTCCCGGGACTTAGCCGAGCGCAGGGGGCAGTTAGAGGCCGAGCTGCCTCTGAGCCCCTGCCAGGGAGGGGACCGCAGGGCAGGGCAGGGTGCCAGGCTCGGGGGCAGGGGGCACTGGGCAGAGGCCCCAGCCGCTCCCTCCTGCACCCGCTGGAGGCTGGATTCACCAGCCCCGCCCGGGGCAGGCTCCAGACTGCCGGCCGGCCCACCCTGCTGGGGCTCAGAGCCCGCACCACTGACCGCCTGTCCCACTGCGCTGGGGCTCTGGTGCCCACTGGGGAGCAGGGGCCGCAGGTCTCCCCGCCAGGTGGGGGTGGAGTGGCCTCGTGAGCAGCCCCAAGCAGGGCAGGGGCTCGCTGTCCCCCTCTCCCTGTCTACTCTCCCAGGCTCCTCCACATGGCACACAGGCTCGGGCGGGTCACAGAGGGCGTCCTGGGTGACAGGGGCAGATGTGCCCCCCACGCCGAGGCCGGCTGAGCGCGGGGGCTGGTGGGTGGGCTCCTGTGTTTGCAAAGCTTGGAGGCCGAGGCCGGGACCCCGGCCCTTCCTCCTGCCGGCTGGCCATCGCTTGTGCACACTAGGACCCGGCCAGGGGGGACCGGGCAGATGGAGGTGGCCCCGGCGGCCTGGGTCACATTACCACCCACTGTGGGGGCAGCAGCGCCTCCGGGGGTCCCACAGCGGGCAGCTCGCCCCAGGCAGGATGGACGGTGATGGGCAGGGGCTCCGTCATGCTGTCACGTCCTCCCAGGCCCCAGCACGTGGAGATGGAGGGACAGAGAACAGCCTACAGAGGACGCCCACGTGGCCTCCAGGTGAGGTCTTCATCCATCCACAGCTGGGAGGCCCAGAAGCCACACGCGTGCCCCTCCGTGTTCAGGACGGAGCCCACGCTCCAGGAGGCCCAGAAGCCACACGCGTGCCCCTCCGTGTTCAGGATGGAACCCATACTCCAGGAGGCCCAGAAGCCACACGCGTGCCCCTCCGTGTTCAGGACGGAGCCCACGCTCCAGGAGGCCCAGAAGCCACACGCGTGCCCCTCTGTGTTCAGGACGGAACCCACGCTCCAGGAGGCCCAGAAGCCACACGCGTGTCCCTCCGTGTTCAGGACGGAACCCACGCTCCAGGAGGCCCAGAAGCCACACGCGTGTCCCTCCGTGTTCAGGACGGAGCCCACGCTCCAGGAGGCCCAGAAGCCACACGCGTGCCCCTCCGTGTTCAGGACGGAGCCCATGCCCAGGTGCCGGAAGACTCCGTTCCTGCCCCGCGCTCCCTCCCTGCTGGCCAGGGCACTGCCTCGCTGGGCCTCACGTGGCCCAGGGTCCGTGGCACTGAATCCCCACTCGCTTCCCCTCACCATCACCTCGGGGGCGAGGACTTCAGCATGTGGGGGTCGCAGACACCGTCTGTCCACACTTGCTGAGACCCACGGTGGGCACGCCTGCCTCCGGTCCTAGTGCAGGAGCTGTGCTCACAACACAGGGCCCCAGAGCCCGGAACCAGGCCCCACGGGCAGCAGAGGGCCCCAGAGCCCAGAACCAGGCCCCACGGGCAGCGCAGGGCCCCAGAGCCCGGAACCAGGCCCCACGGGCAGCAAACGGCCCCAGAGCCCAGAACCAGGCCCCACGGGCAGCAAAGGGCCCCAGAGCCCGGAAGCAGGCCCCACGGGCAGCAAAGGGCCCCAGAGCCTGGAACCAGGCCCCACGGGCAGCAAAGGCCGCTGAGTGGGTGAGGGAAAGGCGGGCGGAGCACGTGCCCGGTCAGTGCCTGGGCAGGGCTGGCTCACATCGGCTGAGCCACCATGTACACGCGTGTGCCCACCCACACCAAGGGGCAGGGGCCAAGGTGGCAGTGGAGACAAAGCCCCTGCCAGGGGTCACTACACTCAGACACAGGTACACATCCAGACATGTGCGCAATCACAGGTACACACCCATGTAATATCCACACCTACATCCACACCCATGCACACCTGCACACTCAGACACAGGTACACACCCACACACAAACGGGGAACATCACACGCACATCCACACATGTACGCGCCCACTCCTCCAGCTGCACACGTGACACCTCTACACACACAGTCCATGCACACACATGCATGTACACACACTCACCCAAATGCACACACACTCGTCCCCATGTGCACATACATCCGTGTGCACACACACGCCCATCCCTAGGTGTGCACACACACTGACTCGCTCTCCCCAGCAGGGGCCCTCACTCACTAGGACACACAGCCCCTCGGGGAACAGGGCTGAGCCTTGGCCAGACCCCTCTGCTACCCGCACCCCCTGGCACCCCCCTCAGTGGCTCTTGTCCGTAGCCTGGAGGCCGAGGCTGCACAACGCACCCCGTGAGGCCCCACAGAGAGCAGGCTCTCTCCCCAGCAGCTCGGGGTCTGCAGCCCCACCCTCCCAGGGGCTCCCCTCTGGGGCCAGAACAGCCCCCCGAGGGTGGAGGAAAGAAACACAGACTTGGGGGCGGGGCTGCCCTGATCCGCGCCTGGCCTGCTCGCCTGTACCACCGCTCGGTCCCTGTGGCACTGTCCCTACAGCCAGGGCTCAGGCTGGGCGGCCTCCCGGTGGGCTCCTGGCTAAGTCCTCCCACTGCCCCCTGGGGTCACCTCCTGCACCTCATGTGTCCCAGGCAGCGCCCCTGCCACCTCCTCGCACACGCCAGGCTCAGAAGCCAGCTCTGGGAGGAACTTGCTCCGGTACACGGAGCCCCAGGCGCCCAGCTGGGCGAGGGGGCCCGGGGCAAGGGACCTCTGGCCCAGCCTGGTCCTGCAGCCTGGGGCAGCCGTCAGCGTGACCCTGGCACCTGGGGAGATGCCCGCTTCATCAGCCCCTGGACAGCAGCAGCTGGCGGTGAGCTGCAGAGGTGGGCACAGGGCTGCACTGCGCGGTGTCGGCCGCTCCCCAGTGCAGGCTGCCGGCTCCCCCACGAGGCCGGTGCAGAGAGAGGTCCCCAGAGCCCGGCCCAAGTCCTGCCTCTCCTCTGGTAACTTGGGCCAGCTCTAGCCCTCTCGTAAATGGGCTTGTCTCGGGATTCACGGGCTGCCTGGCCCCTCAGGCACCGGCTGCCTGCTGGCTCCCAAGGACCTCACCTGTGGGACCATCCTAGGCCCTCCCCCACTTCCCAGACGAGGACCCGGGGCCTGGCCTCAGAGCTCCTGGGACTCCTCTGCCTACACCCCCTGAGACAAGGGCACCTCCTCCCTGGGCCAGGGCACCCGCGCCCAGCCCGACTCGGAAGGAGGGTCCTCGGTGAGCCCACCTCCAGTGCCTCCTGTCCGTCCTCATCCCAGGGCCCCGGGAGCAACCAGACTCGTGGGTCTGCAGGTCACGTGTTTATTTCTCAGGCGTGTGGGGCACAGGCTGAGCCCTGGCCGGGACCCCACGGGGAGAAGGCGCGCTCCTGCGCTCTGCCTCGCGGCTCCTTCCTCGCCTGGGTGCGGGAGGCCTCCCCCTGGCGGGGCCGCGCTCCACCTGCCGAGCTCGGGTCCCGAACCCCAGGCCCTGCAGTGTCTCTGCCAGGTGCTTCCGGCCCGGGGACACACACACAAGCAGAAGTAACTTCGCGTCACCACCTCGGAATCGAGAGAGGGGGAGAATGCAGGGCAAGCCCAGTGTCTTCCCTGGAGCCAGCCGGCCGCAGTGGGGAAGGTTGGGCAGGGCCGGTGCCTGGGACACGTGGCCCCCGCTGGAGCCCGGCCGGCCACAGTGGGGAAGGCTGGGCAGGGCCGGTGCCTGGGACACGTGGCCCCTGCTGGTGCCCGGCTGGCCGCAGTGGGGAAGGCTGGGCAGGGCAGTGCCCAGGCCACGTGGCCCAAGCCAGCAGGCACAGGATCTGAGGGCCACCCATCAGCCCTCTGCAGGGTGACAGCTGTCACAATTCAGAGCCAAGGAGTGACCCTCAGTGGCCCACAGAGTGTGGTTACCATCTGCTTGTCTCACCTCCCGCCCGTGTCACCTCCTACCCATGTCATGTCCCACCAGTGTCACCTCCCACCAGTGTCACCTCCCACTTGTGTCACCTCCCACCTGTGTCACCTCCCACCCGTGTCACCTCCCACCCGTGTCACCTCCCATCCATGTCACCTGTGTCACCTCCCACCCATGTCACCTCCTACCCATGTCACCTCCTGCCCGTGTCACCTCCTACCTGTGTCACCTCCCGCCAGTGTCACCTCCCGCCCGTGTCATCTCCCACCCGTGTCATCTCCCGCCCGTGTCACCTCCCACCCATGTCACCTCCCACCCATGTCACCTCCTGCCTGTGTCACCTCCCGCCTGTATCACCTCCCGCCTGTGTCACCTCTTGCCCGTGTCACCTCCTACCTGTGTCACCTCCCACCTGTGTCACCTCCTACCCATGTCACCTCCCACCAGTGTCACCTCCCACCCGTGTCACCTACCTGTGTCACCTCCCACCTGTGTCACCTCCCACCCGTGTCACCTCCCACCTGTGTCACCTCCCACCCGTGTCACCTACCTGTGTCACCTCCCACCCGTGTCACCTTCCGCCTGTGTCACCTCCCGCCTGTGTCACCTCCCACCTATGTCACCTCCTGCCTGTGTCACCTCCCACCTGTGTCACCTCCCACCCGTGTCTCCATCTGCTGCTTGGGTGCTCAGGCACGGAGCACTGAGCGCCCACCTGTGGGGTGACCTTCTGTCCTCCCCACTTTGCCGGCAGGAACCGGGCCCGAGCCCACCTGGGGTTGCAGAGCAGCCCATCGCCTGAGGGCACAGAGAGCCCCGCGCCCCCTCCCCTCGTGCGTCGCCGCCCGCGTGCAGGAGCAGGAGAGAGAAGTGCAGCGGGGCGGGGGGGGTGGCTCTCCTGGGTTGGTGGTGCCGTGGGGCTGTGCCCAGGCAGGGGCGGCTCCCGGGGGGGGGGCTCTCCCGGGTTGGTGGCGCTGTGGGGCTGTGTCCGGGCAGGGGTGGTTGCGTGGGTGGGGGGTGCTCTCCTGGGTTGGTGGTGCCAGGGGGCTGTGCCCAGGCAGGGGTGGTTGCGTGGGTGGGGGTGCTCTCCTGGGTTGGTGGCGCTGCGGGGCTGTGCCCAGGCAGGGGTGGTTGCGTGGGTGGGGGGTGCTCTCCTGAGTTGGTGGTGCCAGGGGGCTGTGCCCAGGCAGGGGTGGTTGCGTGGGTGGGGGGTGCTCTCCCGGGTTGGTGGCACTGCGGGGCTGTGCCCAGGCAGGGGTGGTTGCGTGGGTGGGGGGTGCTCTCCTGGGTTGGTGGCGCTGCGGGGCTGTGCCCAGGCAGGGGTGGTTGCGTGGGTGGGGGGTGCTCTCCCGGGTTGGTGGCGCTGCGGGGCTGTGCCCAGGCAGGGGTGGTTGCGTGGGTGGGGGGTGCTCTCCCGGGTTGGTGGTGCCGTGGGGCTGTGCCCAGGCAGGGGTGGTTGCGTGGGTGGGGGGTGCTCTCCCGGGTTGGTGGCGCCGTGGGGCTGTGCCCAGGCAGGGGTGGTTGCATGGGTGGGGGGTGCTCTCCCGGGTTGGTGGCGCTGCGGGGCTGTGCCCAGGCAGGGGTGGTTGCGTGGGTGGGGGGTGCTCTCCCGGGTTGGTGGCGCTGCGGGGCTGTGCCCAGGCAGGGGTGGTTGCGTGGGTGGGGGGTGCTCTCCCGGGTTGGTGGTGCCGTGGGGCTGTGCCCAGGCAGGGGTGGTTGCGTGGGTGGGGGGTGCTCTCCCGGGTTGGTGGTGCCGTGGGGCTGTGCCCAGGCAGGGGTGGTTGCGTGGGTGGGGGGTGCTCTCCCGGGTTGGTGGTGCTGCGGGGCTGTGCCCAGGCAGGGGCGGCTGTGCGGGGGGTGGGGGGTGCTCTCCCGGGTTGGTGGCGCTGCGGGGCTGTGCCCGGGCAGGGGCGGCTGTGCGTAGGGGTGCTTGGAGGAAACACGGTACCGATGGAGTCCTGGAGCAGGTGCGTGAGGCTGCTGTTGCGGTAGGGGACGTGGGCTCGGCGCTGCGACAGGGCCCCCAGGACGTCCGCCAGGGCCGCCAGACTCCGGTTGATGAAGGAGGCCTCCCTCAGGGCCAAGCCGGTCACCCCAGACTCGCCTGGGACCGTGCAGAGCCCGGGGGGTTACCTTGGCTGCAGGAAGGGCTGGGGGGGCACAGAGCCGCCTCCCTCTCCCGCCCCTTCGCTCCCCAGAGGCGCTCCTGAGGTTGGCGGCAGGAGGGGCACAGGTGCCTGGGAAGCCATGAACCTACATCTTCCTCAGCGAACGCCCTCCACCCTCCAAGCCGGAGCCAGGCTCGGGGCGGAAGTCCAGCCTCCCTCCGCTCCAAGGGCGGGAGGAACAAGGCTCTGGGCCGTGGGGGTCGGGCTGAGGGTCTTTGAGAGGGGTCGGGGTTCCCAGGCGAAGCTGAAGGCACCACGCCCCACGTGGAGTGCCTGTGACCCCAGCTCCGGCCGACGCGGACTCGGGAGGAAACGGTGGTGGCCCCAGTGACGGGGTCCCTGCCACCCCCGTGAGGCCCAGATGGAGCTCCCGGTTCCCCGCTCCAGCCTTGGCTCAGCCCTGGCTGAGTGGAGTGAGGAGAGGGTGGGAGATCACCTCCCTCTCCCTAAGTATTAGGAAAGAATTTAAATTTAAGGGTAAAATTCTCTTGGGAGAGAAAATGCATGTCCAGAGCCCCCATGTCTGGCTCTGTAGCACCCCCAGGTCCAGGGCTTCTGTAAACACCTGTGCCCCCCACACTCCTCCCCCTCCCCGGGCAGACCTGGAGGCCCCCACCTGTGCCCCTCCCCAACCCCGGGCAGACCCCCCCCCCCACTCACCAATGCACTCACTGCCGGCCAAGTCCACCAGTTGCAGCCGGGGCTGCACCTGCTCCAGCTGCAGGTGGCCTGCACGGTCCCCGGGAACCAGCGCTGGGGGGGTGGCGTTGGGGGGCTGCTGGAGGGGCCCCACTTGCAGCTGGCCTGGTGCCCGGAGAGCGACAAACAGGGACAACTGGGTTACTTCATCTCTGAGATGGACGTGGGCACCGAGGGGCAGGCAGAGGAGCAGGGCAGAGGCCGGCCTCACACCCGTCCGCCCCCAGGAGAGGGCCGGCTGCTTCTCGGCCGGGGTCGTGCAGCCGCCTCCCAGAGGCTTTGGCTGCAGTGGAAATACCAGGAGAGACCCGCCTCCATGGCGGCCACGCCGGCTTCCCCTCTGGGCTCTGGTTCCCCCTGCCTCCCACCCTCCTCCCCTTCCGCCAGGTCCCAGGGCCTTGGGCTTGGACGCGGCTGCGGTGCCCACGCCGGGTGCCGGGCGATGCCTCAGCCCTGCGGCCCTGCGGCCCTCCTCCCCTTCCGTGGACCAGCGGAACACGGACGGAGACTCTACCGGGGCTGTCGGAGGAGCCGGCCGCGGCCAGGCTCACGGTGATGATGAGGTGCGAGCGGGAAGAGGCGGCATGCACCAGGGTGGGGTGCTGCGCCCGGAGCCGCAGGCCCCCGTGGACGAGCCTCATGAGTTCCCCGGCGCTGCCCACGGCCCTGGCGGGGGACAGACAGCAGGCGTGAGGGGGCTGCGCCGTGTCAGCCTCGGTGGCTCGTCTCACAGAAGCTGCGGACGTGGCCCAAGGCCGGCCCTGGACAGAGCACTGCATGGTGGGTGTCCTGCCTGGCCCAGGGCCACCCCGCCCGTGTCACCGGCCCTCTCTCAGTGGCCGGTTACTTGTGGCACCCTCACGGGCCCGAGGGCTGAACTCCTCTCTCCTGAGCCACGTGCGTGAGATGGAAGCACGCCCCCTCTCCGTGGGCAAGGCGGCTGCGGGCAGGGCTCCGGGCCAGCAGCAGGAGGCACGGACGGCGCCTGCCAGTCACAGGCGGACGCCTGGGTCCCTGTGTGGCGACCGTGGCTGCGTTCCAAGTCTCAAACGCTGTGTGCAGGGCCCTCCCGGGAGGGCAAATTCCTCCCTCACGCGGGAGCTCCCACGCAGCCGTGGACTCACGCACACTCAGGACAGGACTCTGGCCAGGTGAGGCCCGAGCTGGGTCCCTGGGGTGACCCCGGCTGCTGGGGCAGCAGTCCCACCCCCTCACTCGCCGGCCCAGGGCTCTTGGGAATTTGTTTTTGAAGACACATTTATTTATGGGGTTTTTAAGAACAATTCCTGTCTCGCTCATACTCCCACGGCTTCACTATGATCTCGCCGGTGCCCAGCACTCGCGTGGGTCTGGGTACAGGGCCCGGTATGAAGCAGCCGCAGCACAGGTCACCGGCGACTCCTGAGAGGCCACGCTTCCACGGGTGGCCAGGACCACCCCTCCCAGCACTAGGGAACAGCGCCACAGGCCGTTCCACGCACGCATCCGTGGCCCGCCCCGCCAGCACGCTGGCCGCACACGGGCCTGAGAGCCAGGCCACAGGCACTCACCGGCGGGCCAGCGCGGAGACCTCCGTCCTGCCCTCCTTGGTCGTGGTCACCTCGCGCTTGGCCCCGGCCAGGCCCGCAGAGCCGTCCTTAGCCAGAAGGTCAAACACGTCGTTGTTGTAAACTTGCACCATGGACACGTGCAGCCGTGGGCTCCGGGAGGGGTCCTCCGACAGCAGCCTGGGAGACCACAGGGGTTAAACCCTCAGGGGCCAGGACCACGCCTCCCCCAAGCCTGGAAGACTGGCTCCCCAGCACAGGAGCCCCCCAGGGGACGCTCCCGCACAGAGCCCCTTGGGCCAGGGGTCGCTGGCCTGGGCAGGGTCCTACCGATAGCAAGGCCACTCAGGGGGAGGGGCGTCCTGTGAAATCGCGGGGTGAAGACCCCACAGCAGTGTGGGACCCGGAGCCCACACGGACAGCAGCAGGAGACTGCATGAGCCCATCTGTCCACCGTGGCCGGGCCCACGGCGCCTGCCCGGCTGTGTAAACCCATTCTGCTTCGGGGCAGCCCGCGGCCAGAGCCCTGGGCTCTGATTCTGTTCGTGCCTCCGACCGGGCTCTGCCAGCAGGCTCGCGGCAGAGCCTCCCCCGCCGGGCTGGCGGCCTGGGCTGGCAGGGACGGAGACGGCACAGGGATCCCGACTCCGATGGCATCCAGAACACTTGCAGGGAAATTTGCACGCCCAGGTCTCGAAGCACCGTTAAAGCGTTGAGCAAGGGGGTGACTTAGCCGCGTCCGAGGCGGGATCCCGGTTTGTGCGGCGGCCGCCTGTTTCTAGATGGTTCCGACAGCCACGTTTCCCTAACTCTTCCTCCGCGGGAGCCGGGGGCTCTGCACTGCCCGCCCTGCCTGCTGCCCTCACTGGCAAGCTGCAGTCTGCAAACTCGGGACCAGCCAGGCATGGGCCGTGCAAGGGTCACGAGCTGCCTTGACCCTCATGTAGGGCACACGCCCGTGACTCCAGCCCAAGGCTGCCCCAGCCTTGTGAGAAGGGAGTGGACACAGACCCTGAGCAACACCTTGGGGTCGCAGCGCCCACTGGCCAAGGCTTGTCCTGCTGTCTCAGGCCCCGCCACCCACACAGGAAGATAGCGGTGTGCTGTGAGCACGCCCCCGCTCTTCCTCTGGTCTCCCCGGGTCGGCCTGCAGTCCCCACCCCTCCCGCTGGGCTTGCACTGGCTGGGCACAGTGCCAGGGCTCCCTGTTGAGAGAGGCGGCCCCTGTGTTCACCTGGGTCCCGGTAGATTCCAGGATGGAGCTGAGACAGGGCTGATGGAGGTGTGGGCCAGCGAGCGACGCCAGGGGCCGAGGGGACACGGCCCTGCCCGGCAGCCAAGGGCTCCCCGCTCGCGGTGGCCACGCTGGGGATCACTGCCCCCAGAAAGAGCCGTCCTCTAGGGTCAGCCCCGCCAGCACCCCTGTGCCCGCACCTGCTGTCACGCGTCCTGAGCTTCTGACACAGAATCCCACCTGGAGGGGCCAAGGAGGCCGCTGTCCCCCAGATGGACAGTGCCGCGGTTCCTCCCCAGGGCTGCGCGGGGGCAGGATGGACAGTGCCGTGTTCCTCCCCAGGACTGCGTGGGGGCGGGATGGACAGTGCCACGTTCCTCCCCAGGGCTGCGCAGGGGCGGGATGGACAGTGCCACGTTCCTCCCCAGGGCTGCGCGGGGGCGGGATGGAGAGTGCCACGTTCCTCCCCAGGGCTGCGCGGGGGCGGGATGGAGAGTGCCACGTTCCTCCCCAGGGCTGCGCGGGGGTGGGATGGAGAGTGCCACGTTCCTCCCCAGGGCTGCGCGGGGGTGGGATGGACAGTGCCGCGTTCCTCCCCAGGGCTGCGCGGGGGCGGGATGGACAGTGCCGCGTTCCTCCCCAGGGCTGCGCGGGGGTGGGATGGAGAGTGCCACGTTCCTCCCCAGGGCTGCGCGGGGGCGGGGGGCGGGAGGCGGGCGGGCAGGCCCTAGCTCCCTGGGGCACTGCCCCGAGCAGGACGTGCGTCTCCTGGAGCAGGTTCCCGTGAGCGAGCTGTCAGCAAAGCCACAGCCCGCGCCCTGCTGTGGACGCCCAGCCTCCAGATCTGCGCGCCGGACAGGCCGCTTCCCTTCGGAGGGGTCTCGTCCTAGTAACACACACTGCCCACCACAACGGCCTCCTCCTGCCCGCCCTCCCCCTCAGCGTGGCCACGACGCTCGCTCTGGCGCCAGGAGCGCCCCAGCCAGGCCCACTCCCTGGGGAGGGCACGGCCCCCACGACCCTGTCCCCCCCCCGGGTTGTGGCCGAGTCGTGGTTCGCCCTCCCCTCCCCACGCACAGCTGCTGTCCCTGTCCCTGTCCCCCCCGGGTTGTGGCCGAGTCGTGGTTCGCCCTCCCCTCCCCCCGCACGGCCGCTGTCCTGCCCCTGTCCCCGCCCTCAGAGGCACCTGAAGAGCTCCCGGGCGGCTCTGGGGACGAGGCCCCTGTCGTCGCCGTGAGCGGGCTCGGCCTCCGCGTGCCGGCCCAGCATGGTGTAGCTCTTGCCGCTGCCGGTCTGGCCGTACGCCATGATGCACACGTTGTACCTGCGGGGAACGCGGCCTCGAGGTGTGGACGCACCGGGGCTCCGGCACCCGTCCTGCTCCTGCACCCCTCGAAGTTAGGCCTCGCTGACCGGCACCACCGCCTGCTGACCCCGCCCGGCTGCGGCCTCGTCACACCTCGGTGTACCGACTCACACACACACAACAGGGCACACTGAAGTGTACACACACAACACGCTACACTGAAGTGTACACACACACAACACGGCACACTGAAGTGTACTCACACAACACGACACACACACACAACACGGCACACTGAAGAGTACACACACACACAACACGCTACACTGAAGTGTACACACACACAACACGGCACACTGAAGTGTACACACACAACACGGCACACACACAACACGGCACACTGAAGTGTGCACACACACAACACGGCACACTGAAGAGTACACACACACACAACACGCTACACTGAAGTGTACACACACAACACGGCACACTGAAGTGTACACACACACAACACGGCACACTGAAGTGTACACACACAACACGGCACACTGAAGAGTACACACACACACAACACGCTACACTGAAGTGTACACACACAACACGGCACACTGAAGTGTACACACACACAACACGGCACACTGAAGAGTACACACACACACAACACGCTACACTGAAGTGTACACACACACAACACGGCACACTGAAGTGTACACACACAACACGGCACACACACAACACGGCACACTGAAGTGTGCACACACACAACACGGCACACTGAAGAGTACACACACACACAACACGCTACACTGAAGTGTACACACACAACACGGCACACTGAAGTGTACACACACACAACACGGCACACTGAAGTGTACACACACAACACGGCACACTGAAGAGTACACACACACACAACACGCTACACTGAAGTGTACACACACAACACGGCACACTGAAGTGTACACACACACAACACGGCACACTGAAGAGTACACACACACACACAACACGCTACACTGAAGTGTACACACACACAACACGGCACACTGAAGTGTACACACACAACACGGCACACACACAACACGGCACACTGAAGTGTGCACACACACAACACGGCACACTGAAGAGTACACACACACACAACACGCTACACTGAAGTGTACACACACACAACACGGCACACTGAAGTGTACACACACAACACGGCACACTGAAGTGTACACACACAACACGGCACACACACAACACGGCACACTGAAGTGTGCACACACACAACACGGCACACTGAAGAGTACACACACACACAACACGCTACACTGAAGTGTACACACACAACACGGCACACTGAAGTGTACACACACACAACACGGCACACTGAAGTGTACACACACAACACGGCACACTGAAGTGTACACACACACAACACGGCACACTGAAGAGTACACACACACACAACACGCTACACTGAAGTGTACACACACACAACACGGCACACTGAAGAGTACACACACACACAACACGCTACACTGAAGTGTACACACACAACACGGCACACTGAAGTGTACACACACACAACACGGCACACTGAAGTGTACACACACAACACGGCACACTGAAGTGTACACACACACAACACGGCACACTGAAGAGTACACACACACACAACACGGCACACTGAAGTGTACACACACATACAACACGGCACACTGAAGAGTACACACACACACAACACGGCACACTGACGTGTACACACACACAACACGGCACACTGAAGAGTACACACACACAACATGCTACACTGAAGTGTACACATACAACACGCTACACTGAAGTGTACACACACACAACACGGCACACTGAAGTGTATATACGCACAACACAACACACTGAAGTGTACACACACAACACGCTACACTGAAGTGTACACACACACAACACGGCACACTGAAGAGTACACACACACACAACACGGCACACTGAAGTGTACACACACATACAACACGGCACACTGAAGAGTACACACACACACAACACGGCACACTGACGTGTACACACACACAACACGGCACACTGAAGTGTACACACACAATATGGCACACTGAAGTGTACACACACACAACACGCTACACTGAAGTGTACATGCACACAACACGGCACACTGAAGTGTACACACACAACACGGCACACACACAACACGGCACACTGAAGTGTGCACACACACAACAGGGCACACTGAAGTGTACACACACAACACGGCACACTGAAGTGTACACACACACAACACGGCACACTGAAGAGTACACACACACACAACACGCTACACTGAAGTGTACACACACAACACGGCACACTGAAGTGTACACACACACAACACGGCACACTGAAGTGTACACACACAACACGGCACACTGAAGAGTACACACACACACAACACGCTACACTGAAGTGTACACACACAACACGGCACACTGAAGTGTACACACGCACAACACAACACACTGAAGTGTACACACACAACACGGCACACTGAAGTGTACACACACACAACACGGCATACTGAAGAGTACACACACACAACATGCTACACTGAAGTGTACACACACAACACGGCACACTGAAGTGTACACACACACAACACGCTACACTGAAGTGTACATGCACACAACATGGCACACTGAAGAGTACACACACACAACACGGCACACTGAAGTGTACACACACACACAACACGGCACACTGAAGTGTACACACACACACAACACGGCACACTGAAGTGTACACACACAATATGGCACACTGAAGTATACACACACACAACACAGCACACTGAAGTGTACACACACACAATATGGCACACCATGCTACACTGAAGTGTACACACACGGCACACCATGCTACACTGAAATGCACACACACAACACAGCACACCATGCCACATTGAAGTGCACACACACACAACACGCCACACCACGCTACACTGAGGTGTACACACATACCAGTGCACTTACATTCACACACAGACACGCACACACAATCTGTGTCATACCAGTGCACTGATACACACACACCACACAACCAGCCACAGAGCACTGACACCCGCACTCACACACGTGTGCGCACAGCACAGTCACACACAGCACACTAAAGTATACTCAGACACAAATGCACACACACAGCATGCCTCCCACCAGTGCCCTGAATCACACACACACACACAGCACACGTCACACCACGGAGCCCTGAATCACACCCGCACTCACACGCGTGTGCACACAGCCCGAGGCCGTGGCTTCCTCTCTCCGCCGTGCTCGCCCCGTGGGCTGTGGCTCTAATCCAGATGCTGTCCCGGTCCCCGAGCAGGGCCTGGGCTGGGCCGGGCAGCCTGCTGAGAACCGCGCTGCCCGTCGCTGGCAGCGTCAATCCCCGTGCCCTGGAGAGACGCGGCTCCTGGTGTCTGCCCGCATTCACACGTGGCTGCAGCTGTCCCTGGACAGACACTCCTGGCCCCTAACCGAGACACCACTGCCCCTGGGCCCCACGGCAGCATTGCCGAGAACAGAGGGCTGAGCCCCAAAGGGCACAGCCACGGCACCAGCCGAGCTGACCACAGACGACAAATGCGACCTGCCCGGGAGCCCCGGGGCCCCGGGACAGGAAGGGAGCTGCGGCCAGTCTGGAAGCCACAGCCGCCCCGGAACACTCTCTGGGGCCCAAGCACGGGCGCCCTTGACGCATGGCCTTCACATCTCCTCACTCCTCTCCCGGAGCCGACAGCACCCGGGAACAGCAGAGTCCACACCAGGGCAGCCCCAGAGCCAGCGCTGACCCCGCCCTGCACCCTCCCCCTGTACCCTGCACACTGCCTCTGTACCCAGCACCCTTCCCCTACACTCTGTACCCGCCCCCTGCACCCTCCACCCTGTAATCTCCCATGCACCCTGAACCCAGCACCCTCCCCCTGTACCCTCCCCCTGCACCCTGCACCCAGCACCCTGAACCCAGCACCCTCCCTCTGCACCCTGCACCCTCTCTCTGCACCCTCCCCCTGCACCCTTCACCCTCCCCCCTGCACCCTGCCTCTGCACCCTGCATCCTGCACCCTCCCCCTGCACCCTGCACCTTCCCCCTGGAACCCTGCACCCAGCACCCTTCCCCTGCACCCTCCCCCTGCACCCTGCAAACTCACCCTGCACCCAGCACCCTCCCCCTGCACCCTGCAAACTCACCCTGCACCCAGCACCCTCCCTCTGCACCCTGCACCCTCCCTCTGCACCCTCCCCCTGCACCCTTCACCCTCCCCCCTGCACCCTGCCTCTGCACCCTGCATCCTGCACCCTCCCCCTGCACCCTGCACCTTCCCCCTGGAACCCTGCACCCAGCACCCTTCCCCTGCACCCTCCCCCTGCACCCTGCAAACTCACCCTGCACCCAGCACCCTGCACCCTCCCCCTGCACCCTCCCCTCTGCACCCTGCCTCTGCACCCTGCACCCTCCCTCTGCACCCTCCCCCTGCACCCAGCACCCTGCCCCCTGTACCCTCCCTCTGCAGCCCGAGGGCAGGCTCGGAGCCAAGGCTGCAGTCTCTGTACCCCGAGGTTTGCTGGAAGTTACCATAACTGTGGTCATCATTAGCTCACCCGTCCAGGAGAGACGTAAGAAGGGGACGCACGTCCTCAAATACCTCCCTCTGAGATTCTGCTGGACCATAAACTCTGAAAGAGCGAAAACGAGGCATCACTGGAAGGGAAGGGAGCTGCCCAGACACCTGAGTTTCCCACAGAAACTCCCAGCACACTCCAGACGTGCAAACCCCCAACACACTCCAGACGTGCAAACGCGCAGCACACTCCAGACGTGCAAACCCCCAGCACACTCCAGACGTGCAAACCCCCAGCACACTCCAGACGTGCAAACCCCCAGCACACTCCAGACATGCAAACCCCAACACACTCCAGACGTGCAAACTCCCAGCATACTCCAGACGTGCAAACTCCCAACACACTGCAGACATGCAAACTCCCAGCACACTCCAGACGTGCAAACCCCAACACACTCCAGACGTGCAAACCCCAACACACTGCAGACGTGCAAACCCCCAACACACTCCAGACGTGCAAACCCCCAGCACACTCCAGACGTGCAAACCCCAACACACTGCAGACGTGCAAACCCCCAACACACTGCAGACGTGCAAACCCCAACACACTCCAGACGTGCAAACCCCCAGCACACTCCAGACGTGCAAACCCCAACACACTGCAGACGTGCAAACCCCCAACACACTGCAGACGTGCAAACCCCAACACACTGCAGACGTGCAAACTCCCAGCACACTCCAGACGTGCAAACTCCCAACACACTGCAGACGTGCAAACCCCAACACACTGCAGACGTGCAAACCCCCAACACACTGCAGACGTGCAAACTCCCAGCACACTCCAGACGTGCAAACCCCAACACACTGCAGACGTGCAAACTCCCAGCACACTGCAGACGTGCAAACTCCCAACACACTGCAGACGTGCAAACCCCAACACACTGCAGACGTGCAAACCCCCAACATACTCCAGACGTGCAAACCCCAACACACTCCAGACGTGCAAACTCCCAGCACACTCCAGACGTGCAAACTCCCAACACACTCCAGACGTGCAAACGCCAGCACACTGCACACATGCAAACTGTCATGCACAAAAGGTGAATCTGTGTGGCTTCCCAGGCTCACAGGGGTGAAGGACGAGCGAGGGTTCTGCATCCGATGTCACCCAAGTGTCGCAAACCCAGGCAGAGAGAAGTGCTCCCCGGGGAGGGGGAGGGCGCAGCCGACTGTGGCTGATTCGCTCTACTCAGCCATCCAGCCGCAGCAGTGCAAACACCCTGCTCTGGGAACATTCTACGAGGCCACCAAACTTTCGTCTTCATGCCTGGAACGCGCGTTTCCCGGGCTCCAGGGCACGGAGCAGGTGGACACCCTTGGGAACCGGGGAGACGGGGGGGGGGGGCACATCCCTTCACGAACCGCCATCAGCATCACTCAACCTGAAGACACAGACTCAGGGGTTCGCCCACGGATCTGCACACGGATTGCCTGTAAATGCGATGAACTGAAACAACGGCTTGGGCCCGGCGCTGTGGCACAGCAGGCTAAGCTGCCACGCGTGACGTGCCACGCCGTATCAGAGCGCTGCCGCACATCTCAGCTGCTCGGCTCCCAGCCCAGCTTCCTGCTGCTGCACCAGGGAACCCAGCAAGACATGGCCCAGTCCTCCAGCCCCCAGCACCTGTGTGGGGGACCCAGACCCTGCTGTCGTGGCCATGTGGGGAGTGAACCAGCGAATGGAACACTCCCCTCTCTCTGTCACTCTGCCTTTCAAGTAAACAAATCCTTACAAACAACTCATCAGTCCACAGGATCCGTCAGGGGCAGCTCTGCCGGCCCCCACACCAACACAGTATGTGGCCCGAGAGCACCCACCTTTCAAAGCGGTAAGTCTTATTGATGGGGGGGTGACTGGGACGGTGGCACCTCACCAGGACAGTTTCCTGACGGTAAAGAACAAACAGGTGGTCAGACGGGGCCCTGAGCGAGGCGTCCAGCGGCCACCGCCTGCTTTCGTCACCAGCTCACCAGAGCACAGGCCCAGCCCCCGCCGACAGATCGCAAGTGACGCAGGGCCAGGGAGCCTGGCCGGGGCCCACGCAGCCCCCAGACGCAGTCCTTGCTCTCTGCCGGGCCCCGCTAAGCAGACCAGAGCCCCCTCGCGAGCACCCCTGGCTCCAGCACCTGAGGTTCTAACAGGCAGGCGCCTCTCGGGCCCCAGCCCTCGCCATGACCCAGCCGGGGGTGGCGGAGCGGGGCTGCCTGACCCCAGGGCACGTGGACTCTGATCGTGCTGAGCACAGCAGTTTCAGCACGGAATGTGAAATCAGCACTCAAGGAAGCTCGGAGCCAAGTTGTTCAATCCTAAAATAAATGTGAATTCATCAAAAACCAGAGCTCCAGGAGAAACTGTCCTCTTAACAAAACAAACCCTGCAATTGCACAAGAGGTCGGCGGCGCCCAGACAGCGGCTGCTGGGCAGACCGTCCAGCGTCTGACTGTACCATCATGCGTGTGTATCCATGTGTGTCCATGTGTGCGTGCGCCAGGAGTCAAGGGTACTGCAAGAAACCCACGCAGGCTGGCGCCGTGGCTCACTAGGCTAATCCTCCACCTAGCGGCGCCGGCACACCGGGTTCTAGTCCCGGTTGGGGCACCGGATTCTGTCCCAGTTGCCCCTCTTCCAGGCCAGCTCTCTGCTGTGGCCAGGGAGTGCAGTGGAGGATGGCCCAAGTGCTTGGGCCCTGCACCCCATGGGAGACCAGGAGAAGCACCTGGCTCCTGCCATCGGATCAGCGCAGTGTGCCGGCTGCAGCAGCCATTGGAGGATGAGCCAACGGCAAAGGAAGACCTTTCTCTCTGTCTCTCTCTCTCTCTCACTGTCCACTCTGCCTGAAGAAAGAAAGGAAGGAAGGAAGGAAGGAAGGAAGGAAGGAAGGAAGGAAGGAAGGAAGGAAGGAAGGAAGGAAGGAAGGAAGGAAAAGAGAAAGAGAGAAAGAGAGAAAGAGAGAAAGAGAGAGAGAGAGAGAGAGAGAGAAAGAAAGAAAGAAACCCACCCATGGCAAATGGGGCTAAAGCAGACATTGATTTGGTGCAATGTTTTTTGAGATCTATTTGCTGTTTGTCCTAACACGCCTCTCCCGTGAGCCCCTGTGTGTGCCGACAGCCACACCTGTGCGTCAGCAGTGTCCCGTCGGGGCTCACAGAGCAGGCTGGGGGCTGGGGGCTGGGCTGTGTGCTGAGGGCTCCCCAGGGCTGAGCTGGGACGCAGACACACGGTCTCCCTGACACTGAGATTGTGGGGACGCAGGACGCTTTCCCGTCTTCACGCCGCAGGGGTCACAGGTGCATGGGGTAAACCGAGCAGCAAGAGCAAATGCTAGACAACAGCCCAGGCGGAGCCGGCCTGGCCACACGGGCACCTGGCGGGTGCCCCAGCTCCGGCTCCCGCTGCGCCGCCCGCGCTGTCCCCACCCTGCGAGGCAGGGCTCGCCATCTCCCTGGCAGACCTGTCTCCGCCCTGTGCAGTACACCAGGCCGTGGAAATCCCCCAAGACCCCAGGCTGGCGACCACCCTGGCCCAGAGGGAGGCTCAGGAGGGAAGGAGGTGGGCCCCAGGCCGGGAGCACTGCGGGGGTGCCACAGGTCCCACCCCCTCAGCTCCCACTGTGTGTGCGTGACCAGGATGGTGAGGGCGGGGCTGAGGAAGTCCGTGGCACCTGGGAGCGGCCAGCGTGGCCTCCGGACCACAGTGAGAACAGTGTGCCTGTGTGCTCACACTGCTCTCCCGGGGGCGGGGTCCTTCTTGGGGGTGGGGTCGCTCTCCCAGAGCTCCTTTCTGCACCCAGTCTGTCCCAGGCGCCTTCTCCGCACCGGAGCCCACATCGGGAGCCACACGTTCCCGCACAGGGAAGTCACGTGCCCTGTGACAGAGGCCGCCCAACACTGGGCGGGGGCCGGGAGCCACGGCTCAGAAGCTCAGCAGGCCACGCACGGCGTCCCCCGCCATCCACTGTGAACCGGGGGCAGCCAGCGGTGCTCAGGGGTGCCCGAGAGCTGACAGGACAGGGCCGGGACCGGGGAGGAGGGGACGGCCACACGCACTGCGAAACTGCACCCTTAGAACGGCTAACGGAACCTTGTGTCTTGTGTTGTGTGCCTTGTATTTGCAAAAACGACACACCTGAGGGTGCGCCGGGAACCCAGGGCTGAGGTGACCTGAGTGTGTGCTCCAGGTCCAGGAAGGGAACAGAGACGTGGGAGCGTGCGCCTGTTCCCACCGCGCTTGGGGCAGTCCCGGGGTCGTCCCGGCACTGATACCGAGGCGGGGGCAGCTGTGGCCCCCCCGCAGCGAGGGGAGGGGGGGCAGGCGGGGCCACGGTCACAGCCGGCAGGGGCGGGAGGGGCAGACGGCCCGTCCCCCTGTTCTGACCACAGACGGCGGACAGACGGGCGGCTTTGTGCTGTGTGAAGTGTGGGACACGCACCAGGAGCGGTCCCTTCCGTGGTGTGATGAGAGCACACGGTGACGTCTGAGCCCCTGACTGCTGGGGGACGGCCAGGCAGGCAGGGACCCCCCACGGCTTGCAGAGGTTTCTCTGCGCATGGGATGGATGCAAAGCCTTCTGGGAGAACAGCGCCCTGTTCCCAGGTAAGGGGCCCAGCGGCTGGACACTCCACTGGCTCCCAGGCTCAGAGCCCCGCGGGGCAGGGCGGGGGCGGGGCAGGCAGCCCGTGGGGTGGGTGCTATTCCTTATCTCTCCCCCAGAGGGCAGCTCCACCCACAGTGGAAATCCGATCTCTGCTCCCCAACTTTGACACCTGCTTCCAGCAGGAGCCCCGGGGGCCGCCCCACCCCCACCGGCTGGTCAGCCCCTCTGCCCGCCTCTCTGTTGGGGCAGGAAAGTGCCCCTCTCCCCCCCTGCCCCCAGACCCTCCTTCTGCTCTGCCGCCCCGGTCCCCGCCCCCGCCCCCGCCCCCGCCCCCGCCCCCGCGGCAGGATGAGCTCTGCAGGCCCAGCACCGCCCAGTGCCCAGCGCCAGCGCCTGCATTTTTGATGACCTGGAAGCAGAGCCAGTGAGCACGGGAGGGCGAGTTCCAGGCACCCCTCCCACCGCGCAGCCCCCCCACGCCGTGCACCCCGAGACTGACTCCAGGGGCCACCCTGCCTCACTCCCACCCCAGGAAGGACCCGGACGCCAAACGTGAGCTCTCGCAGGACGGTGGCCGGGGGCGCGCTGGCACCATTTTGTCATCGCCGCTGGCTGCTGGGGCCGGAGGGCGGGCGGAGGCGCTGAGGCTCCGGCGCTCCGGCTCAGGTTAAACAAGGGGACGCCAGGAACACCGACCGTCAGCGCACTCCCTTCCAGAAACATCTGACCGAGTCGGTGGGCACCGCGCACGGAGCAGCCAGGGGACGCGGCCGACCGCCTTCTGAAGGGAGCAGCCTGCACTGCGGCTGTGAGACACGGGATGTGAGAGGGGCAGAGCCGGCGCCGTGGCGGCAAAGGTAAAGCCGCCGCCTGCAGTGCCGGCATCCCACACGGGCGCCGGTTCAAGTCCCTGCTCCACTTCCCATCCAGCTCTCTGCTGTGGCCTGGGAAAGCAGCAGAAGATGGCCCGAGTCCTTGGGCCCCTGCACCTGCGTGGGAGACCTGGAAGAAGCTCCTGGCTTCAGCCTGGCTGTTGCAGCCATTTGGGGAGTGAACCAGCAGATGGAAGACCTCTCTCTCTCTCTCTCTCTCTCTCTCTCTCTCTCTCTCTTTAACTCTTCCTTTCAAATAAATAAATCTTTAAAAAAATAAAATAGGAAGAAGAGGAGGAAGGGCGGAGCAGGGAGCAGCCCGAGCGAACGGGTGGGCCCGACAGGCGACTTCCACCTTTGATCCTTGCAACTCTGTTTTTAAAAATCCCAGGAAACCGGGACGTGGTTCCTGACATCATAACGACTTCCAGGTCCTCCCAGGTGGCTGCCACTTGGGGAATAGACCCAGGATGTCGCAGCGGGAAAGGACACGCCCGCCCCGGTGGGGCCACGGCAACACGTCCAGGAGTGGGTTCCGGGGGCCGTCTCCCTGTCACAGCACAGGCACAAAGCGCCGTGGGATGGGCTGTGAGTGTCTGGATTTCTCCCGCGGGGACAGGCACGCGTTGGGCGCCCACCCTGCCACGGGCTGCCCTGAGCGTGCGTGGCAAGCAGAGCTCAGAGCCCGGCCCTGGTGGGGAGCAAGCCCAGCGCCGTACAAGAACCAGACAAGCGGACGGGGAGGTGCCTTGAGCTCACGCCCGTGAGCCCACTGCCCCCGCAGCAGGGCCGGGCCCGCACAGTGAGGGCCAGTCCAGGCCATGGGAGCCAGAGGAGCCCCAGCGACCGGGCGTTAAGGCTTTGCCTGGGGTCACAGGGTGGCTGGCTCTACCAGCCATGGTCAGAAATCACCAAATGCCACAGCAAAGAGAACCACAGTGGCCACGGGCAGCTGGGCAGGCGCTCAGGGCACGGCCACCGATCCCTTCCCCCACTCTGGCGCCCGACACAAGATGGGGATGAAATGAGAAGCACAAATGGCCCCCTAGGATGGCGGCCAGGAGCGAGGGCCGGGCCCCCCACGGGACAGGCCCCCATGGGGTGGGCCCCCACGGGACAGGCCCCCATGGGACAAGCCCCCCACGGGACAGGCCCCCCATGGGACAGGCCCCCACGGGACGGGCCCCCACGGGACGGGCCCCCATGGGATGGGCCCCCATGGGACTGGCCCCCACGGGACGGGTCCCCACAGGACGAGCCCCCATGGGACAGGCCCCCATGGGACTGGCCCCCACGGGATGGGTCCCCATGGGACAGGCCCCCCACGGGATGGGCCCCCCTCGGGACAAGCCCCGCCTCCACGGGACGGGCCCCCCACAGGCCGCACCCCCACGGGACAGGCCCCCACAGGACGGCCCCCCACGGGACAGGCCCCCACGGGATGGGCCCCCACGGGATGGGCCCCCACGGGATGGGCCCCCACGGGATGAGCCCCTACGGGACGAGCCCCCATGGGATGGGCCCCCACGGGACAGGGCCCCCACGGGACAGGCCCCCACAAGACAGGCCCCCACGGGACGGGCCCCCCATGGGACAGGCCCCCCACGGGACGAGTGAGGCCACAACTGAGGCCCCGCGTGTCCAGCAGGAGCCCAGCTCCTACAGACCCCGGAGATGAAGAGCAGGGAGCCGGGCCACGGGCGCAGCACTGACCCCGTCTTGCCGTCCCTCTGCGCCCTCGGGGCCCGTCCGGGGACGGTGCATTCTGGGGGTGCAGCCCTGCCCCCGTGCCACCCGAGGGGCCCACTTCCTCCCAGGGGCCAATGCCTGGGGGCTCACAGGGCTCCCAAGAGGGGAGTGGGCCGATGCCTGTGGTTTGCGGGGCAGCACCCACCAAGCCCCGCTACCCTCGCCCTCTAGACGGCGGCGTCTCTGGGGCGGGGAGCCCCGCGGAGGGACGGCGCCTCTCCAAGCACCAGGGACCTACTCACGTCGTCCATGGCGTGGGCCACTTCCCCAGAGCCGGAGCTGCGGGAATAAAACAGCGCTGCACACACGCGTCTCCCAGCGCCGTCTGTCCTGGCCTCTGGGCCACCCCCACCCCCGGCCCCCTCACCCTGGGCCGACCCTGGCCCCCACCTCCTCGGGGCCCCGGGCCCCGTCTGCTGCCCTTCGCTCCCCTCTCTGCCCCGTCCGTTTCCCCTCGCTCTGCCCTCCAGGCCCTGTCGCTCTCTCCCCTCCCTCCACTTCCTCCCAAATTCTCCAGCTCTCCTTCCACCCCTCCCTCCCACACTTTCGTCCTCCGTGTGCGCTCCGGGGCAGCCTCCTGCCTTAGGACGGGTGCCGCGAGGGAGCCCCCCAAGGGCTCTGTGCGGTCACCAGTGCCCACAGGGGCAGCAGGTTCCACACCAGAACAAATGCGCGGCCTGACACAGGGCAGGCAGCGGTCACCGAGCTGGGGCCGGCGTTGCGGCACTCCGGGCTGAGCCCTGCTTGCCACGCTGGCAGCCCACACAGGAGCGCCGGTTCCGGTCCCGCTGCTCTGCCTCTGATCCACTCCCTGCTAACGGCCTGGGAGGGCAGCAGGGGACGGCCAAGTGCTTGGGCCCTGCACCCACGTGGGAGGCCCAGAGGGAGCTCCTGGCTCCTGGCTTCAGCCTGGCCCAGACCTGCTTGTTGCAGCCGTTTGGTGAGTGAATCAGTGGGCGGAAGATCAATCTCTCTCTCCCCCCCCTTCCCCTAACTCCCTCCCTCTCTCTCTCTCTCCCCCCACTTCCCCTATCTCCCTCCCTCTCTCCCTCTCTCTCCCCTCCCCCTCTCCCTCTCTCCCCCTCCCCCTCTTCCTTTTTCTCTCTCTCCCCCTCCCCCTCTCCCTCTCTCTCCTCTCTCTCTCTCCCCTCCCCCTCCCTCTCCTGCTATAAATTACAAATAAACAAATCTCTTTCTTTAAAATGGTGACTGAAACCTGTTGTGAGCCTGTGAGAAGCCGGGCAGCCTGGAGCAGCACTGGCGGTGGAGCCCACCTTGGGGCCAGGGGCAGAGAAACAGGTGTGGCAGTGGGTGTCACTTCCAACACACACATGCACACACGCTTGCATATATACATGTGTGCATACACGTGCACGCATGCTAACACATATGCACACATGTGCAAACACGTGCACATGCATGTGTGCTCACACACATGCACACATGCTAACACATATACACACGTGCAAACACGTGCACATGCATGACGTGTGCTCACACACGTGCACACACTTAGTACATGCACACCCACATATATGCACTCGTTTAGCACACAATGTGCACGCGCATGAACACGTTCACACACGCGTGTACACCCCTGGAGCAGGCCTCGCTCACCCGTTCTGGGGGCCTGGACCCTCCAGTTCGCCGTCCAGAGGCAGCAGGGGGCGGATTCGGCAGTGGACGCGGACGTTCCCCTTCAGCTCCTGCAAGGACAGGGAGCCGTCACGGCCACTGCCACCAGCGGGGCGGCTGGGCCGCTGGACGTCGCCCTAGAGGGCCAGGAAGTGGTGGTCGGCTCAGGACTCAGCCTGGCTCGGCCGAGAGCAGCGTCCAGGCTTCTGCCTCACTCACACTTAGAGTCTGTCCCCCGGGGGCAGGCGCGTGCCAGGCGCCCTTCAGTCCCCAGGGGCTCTGGGGGGACCCTCACCCTCCACCGAGAGGAGAGGGCCCAGGAAGAACCAGCCACGGGCAGTGCTGGACGGGGAAACCCAAGCTGGGTTCCTATAGCAACGAATGCCCCGAGGGGCCGTGTCCGGCCATGAGCTGGCGGCCACCTCCTTCCAGGCTGATGACCGACGGGGCGGATGCCACAGACCCCGCTGCTGCCCTCACCAGGGCCTGCACTGCAGAATTCCTTCCCCTCCCACGTGGAGAGCTTCCGGTCAGAGACGGGCGGCTCCTGGACCCTGCACACCCTCTGCCCCCCCCCCCCCCCAGCCACCACCGCTGACCTGGCCAACACCCGGCCTGCTCCCACCCCTCTCTGACGCCGCCTCCGAGCGTGGGTCACGCTAATCCAGACGTCCCCTGGAGAGCAGCCCAGCAGCTGCCCCGAGGACGGATGCCCAGCTCGGGGCTCCCGGCTAAACCATCCGTCTTTGGGACCCTGGACCCACCCTCCCAGCCCCCGGTGGTGGAAACCTGCTCGGGGGAGCAGCAGAAATGCCGGCACACGTGCAGATCTGCCAGAGGCCTGAGCACGCCGCACCGGACGCCGTCTCGCGGGGAGAGCTGGGCACCGGGAAGGGAAGACCCCAGGGGATCATGCCACAGAAGACAGATGTCAATCAAAGGAGACGGCAGGACTGGGCCAGGCCAGCCGGCTACACGCGCATGGACAGGAGGCGCTCACCTGCAGGCCAGAGCAGCCTCGGGGGCCTGGAAGCGGTTGTGGCCTCTGGGCTCCCCCCAAGGCTGCCATCGCCCTCTGGGTCACGGACACTGGACCCCGCAGGCCCCCCGGGCCGGGGGATCCTGGGAGGGCTGCCCACCGCGGGCCAGTCTCACTCGGGGTCCCCCCAGGGCCGTGGGGGCCCGACGCCATCCCGGCGTGGCGCGGCCGCTCACCACCAGACGGTTGTGCAGGTGCTTCCTCCTCTGCTTTTCCAGCTCGTGGCGCGCGCTGACTTCCCGCAGCGACTGCTGCAGACCGACGGCCTGGGCCTGGCAGGCTGGGAGGACAGGTGCGCCTGTTAGCACGGCGCCCACGGCCTCCTCCAGGGGCACGAGGTGGTGCCGGCCGGCACCGGGCCACGAGCCCTCTGGCCTCCGGGTGCGCCATCCCCAGCGGCTCAGCCAGGGATCCCGGCCACACACGGCCAGGCCACAGGGAAGGCGCCAGCACGGTCCCGCCTCCGCCCCCTCTGGGGCTTTCTAGAAAACACCTCATCTTTCCAAAGCTCAGAGAGACCACTGTCCCTAAAGTAGCAGCGCTGTCTCTCCCTGGAGCACGCGATTTGCAAGATCACGCGTGTGTGCCCATGCATGCTCACCAGCACACGCATGCGCACACGCTGCACTCACTGCCAAGGTTCTCAGAGGGGTGGGGGGGCACTGAACCAGGCGCCAGCTCTCGGCACGCTGGGGTTGATAGAACACGGTTCACTCTCCCACGCACCCGCTGTGGGGTCACAGCAGGAAGACGGCTCCTACGGCCCCATCTCCATCACCGCTGGACGGCGTGGACACAGGAACCCCGGGCCAGGGGAGGAAGGGCGGGACCCAGGCACGCCTTCCACTGGGGACTAGCGAGGCTGTAGCACTTTACCAGGCCACAGAGCAAACGTGGCCTCCTCCGTGGGTTTAAGTTCTGAGGTTTGAGACAATGAACCCAGGCGCAGGCCCCGCTGCCCCGTGTGACTCTCACGTCCCAGATCCCAGCGCTGGCTCGAGCCCGCCACGCTGCTTCTGTCCCAGCCCGAGAGGCAGCAGACCTGGCTCAAGTGCTCTGGGCCCCTGACACCCACGTGGGAGACCCATTGGAGTCCCTGGCTACCGGCTGAGGGAGGGCGGGGGGGGTGGGCAGCTTGGGACCCAGGGCACCAAAAGTGCCTGAGCAACTCAGGTCTTGTCCCTGGGAAAGAAAAGGCATCGGGAACCTGCCTCCCAGCCACGGTTCCCCCCAACGCCGCCGCGCTGCGGGGGACCAGGCCGGCCCCTCACCTTGCAGAGTCTGCCCCTGGAGCTGCGCCGCCTGTGCCGCGGCCACGGCTGCGGCCACGCCGGCCCCGCACTGAGCCTGGAAATCCCCGAGAAGCCCCGTGGTGGAGGCCTGGAACTCCCTCAGCTCCCGCTTCAGCGTCTGCAGGGCGAGAGGCAGCCGGGAGTCGGATGGGTGTGCACCTGCTCCTCGCGCAGCCTCGCTGCCTGGCAGCCGGCCCACTCCCAGGAGGCAAGAACTGACCGCGCCACGGCCACGCAGGACTCCACTCCCCCCACCCCCACCCACGCGCAGCAGGGGTCTCGCTGCGCCCACGCCCTGGCCCGCTCCGGACATCCAGGCTCCGTGGAGCCAGGATTTGTACTCCAGAAAGCAACATCTGTGATTTCACGGCTTTCAAGTGTGAGAAATTCAGAGTCAAACATCCCACCAACGTCCGCAGGAAGCAGCGCTCGGTGCAGAGCGCGAGGGTCTCAGGCGCCCGGCGCTTCCTGTCTGCTGCCTTCCTTAAGCGGGAACAAAGCCGCCACCTTCCAGGAGGGCGGTCACCAAGAGCATGCGTCCCCGGGAGCCGCCTGCCAGGGCGAGGACAGGGCAGACCCCAGGCAGCGGCGCGGGGGGCGTGGGATGCAGACGCCGTGCCAGGAGGCGGCACGCAGCGCTCCCGTTCCACGGCTGACACCGAACGCCCTGGAAGCTCAGGAGGCGAGCAGCTGGGACAGGAGCTGGACCCGCTGTCCTGTCCCCGGGGGCGGCTTCCTTGTGTTAGGGGACTTGCTGATACACGGTCAGAACTGCAGAGTCTCGTCGAGAACGTCCAGCTCTGCGGCCGCGAGGACAGGGACGGACGCCCCTCGGCTGGAGGAGGGCGCGGCGGAATCAGAGAGCGACCGCCACGCTCCGGCACACAAAAGCGCCTGGGGTGGGGGGGTCTGAATCTGGATTAATCCTGTTTGCAGATGGTGTTTTGCTTGCTGTCACAATGGTTTCTTGCTTCCTAATCTTTCCCCCAGTCACCTGTTTGAAACAATGCTCCTAGGAGCTTGAAAACACCCGCGACCCGGCAGCCTGGCGTGGCGCCAGCCCCTGCCCCGCGGGAACGCGGCTCTCCCGGCATGCCTCTGCTGTCAGAAACTGCCGGGGCTCTCCCAGAGGCGTCCACTCTGCCGACGCGGTGACCGGGGACCGCGCACCAGCCGCCAGCACACGCGGCGTGCTAGCTCCCCACTGCTCTTCCCCACCTCCCGGGGCGCGGTCGGTCGAGAGCCGAACCCCGACGATGAAGATCCTCAGGACTCACAGCCCGCCATGGGCAGACGCCGGCTCCCTCCCACTCACCTCTCAGTGCCCACGGGGCGGGGGTGGGGGGTCCCCGACAGGCGACACGCACACAGCCCCCTGGAAACACGGGGGTGGGTCTGTACCTGCAGCTGGCGGCAGAGCTGGCTCGCGGCCGAGCCCGAGCAGGCGCACACGCGCGGGGTCTCAGCCCTGCAGGCCTCTCTGCGACTCTTGCCCATCCTTTCTCGGCACTGCTGGGCGGGAAAACGGAAGCTAAGCAAGACCAGGACGCCAAGCACGGGCGCCTCTTTGCGGACAGGAGAGGCGGCCCAGCGGCCTGGGGCCTGGACTGCAGCAGGGAGCCGGCGTGGTGGCGGCTGTCCCCCGGTGCTGGCCGGTGCAGAGGAGGGGCAAGGGTGTCCAAGAAGAGTGGCTGCCCGGAGGGCTTCCTGGAGGAGGCCGCCTGTGAGCACAGCAGGGGAGCGACAGGAGAGCCGGCCCTCTGGCCGTTCTGTGGATGTGGGGTCCTCCCTTCAGAGCCACACGTTCCCACAGCAGCACCTTAGGCGCAGCCGTCAAGTGCGGGGGCAGAGCCACGTGGGGGCGGCACTGGCGCTGCCCTCAGCACAGAGCCCCCCACCTCGCTTCAGGAGGGGCGAAGAGACGGAAGCAGATCTGCAAGCGAGCCGGGGGTGAGCGCTGTGTGGACGCTGACCCCGCCCCCCACCGCTGCACCTCGCCCAGCCCAGCGCCCCGGGCCCCAGACAGAACCACGCTAGCACACGGGCCAGCCTGAGCCGGCACCAGTCATGAGCGGGGAGGGGTGGGAGCCGGCCCCATGATCTGCCTGCACGCACGGGCTGCAGCCACTGCCACTAAAAGGCTAGAAAACCCTGGGCTGTAGCTGCCGGGAGGGGGAGCCGGCCGGAGGGGGTGCCGCCGACGCTGACACGGGCGTAAAGGCGCACTGAGGATTAACTACTCAACAGGCCACGGGGCTGGTGTGCAGGGCTCGGCCCCGCCTGGAGGCCGGGAGGCTGTGCCGAGGTGGTGCCCTGGCGGAGCTTCTCCGGACTGCAAGCCCCCGGCGTGCCGTGGGGGAGCACCCGGCTGCTCTCCATCGGGACTGGGGGCGGCGCCGTCAGCTCGGCCGGGCCTCGGCTTCGCCGCCTGTCAGTCTTCCTTGTGAGCACCCAGGGAGCGCATGACCCACACAGCCCGGCCTGGCCGCGGGCACCCGCCAAGCTCCCCTCGCCTCCTGGAGGAACTAGTGGGAACACTCCTTAAGTAATCGGCGCATTCGGTGCAGTTAAACTTCCCACGGCACCTGACAGGGTTTCTCACCAGTGGTGAGGACGGGGGGGGGGGGGGGGGCCCTGGCCTTGGCCTTGGCTTTGCTGTGAGCATCTGGGGGACCCAGCAGGCAGCCAGTAGAAATGACACGGGTAGAATCACGCCAGCACCCAGAGTGACAGCGTCAATCAACAGAAGCAAAGGTGGCCTCCGGAAGCAGGGTGGGAGGGGACTGAATGCCGACGGGCGCCAGGCATCTCGGGGCTGCCGGGGGGGGGGGGCAGCTGCAGGGTGCTGTCCACGCCCACCGCCAGGCAGGAAGAACCGGGGCCCTGGGAGCGGGGCTCACGTGGCGGGGGCGGCACCCTCCCGGTGCAGTCATGCCCACCGTGGCCTGGGAGGAAGGAGCTGGGGCCCCTCTGCCCCTGGGCTGGTCTGTGAGTGAGGCCACCTGGAGGATACCCATGGACCCCTGGAGGGCACCCCACTGAGCCCCTGGAGGGCACCCATGGACCCCTGGAGGGCACCCACTGACCCCTGGAGGGCACCCACAGACCCCTGGAGGGCTCACCCCATGGACCCCTGGAGGGCATCCACTGACCCCTGGAGGGCTCACCCCATGGACCCCTGGAGGGCACTCCACTGAGCCCCTGCAGGGCACCCCATGGACCCCTGGAGGGCACCCCACTGAGCCCCTGGAGGGCTCAACCCATGGATCCCTGGAGGGCACCCATGGACCCCAGGAGGGCTCACCCCACAGACCCCTGGAGGGCACCCACTGACCCCTGGAGGGCTCACCCATGGACCCCTGGAGGGCACCCACGGACCCCAGGAGGGCACCCACGGACCCTTGGAGGGCACCCACTGACCCCTGGAGGGCTCACCCCACTGACCCCTGGAGGGCACCCACGGACCCCAGGAGGGCTCACCCCACACCCCACACCCAACCCTCCACATCCACGAGATGCGGGTCTGCCCAAGTCCCTGGGCCCGGGAGCTGTCACAGCGCCAGGGCTCCAGCGTGGCCGGGCCTGGGGCCGTACACCGGACACGGTGCACGACAGCCGTGTGGGGAAGCACAGGCCCTCACACGCTCAGAACTCTGGGAGCCAGCGGACGCTGAGATCGGGAACGTGGACCTGCCTGTGCCGGAAAGACGTGCACTGAACGCCAGGTGCAGCCCCTCCCACCCACTGCCGGAGGCCAGGGCCAAGGCAGCATCACCTGTAGCTCCTCCTTCCACACGGGCACCAAGCCAGGGCGCCCCGGACGCCGCCGACCCACCGCAGCCCCCGGCGAGCCTACCTCGGCCAGCCTCAGGTGGAGAGCAGCATTTTCGGTCTCGAGCTCCACGATTCGTTCTTCTTTGACCTGCAACCAAGGAGCCCAGACGGAAAATGACAACAGGACAGCACGTGCTGACAAGAAGGCCACCACCGCCTCGCTCACAGCGAGTGCGGCCACGTGACCGCCACCCACGGGTCGGGCCACGGAGACCCCGCGCCCTCTGCCTGGCAGCCTGGTGCCCCTGCCCCACAACCCCTGCTACAAACACAGAAAACGGACGCGGCCGCCCTCTGTGGGAAGGCTGCTTGGGGGCTGGCTGGCGGGAGCGGGGCAGGAGAAGTCGGGCAAGGAGAGGCCAGTCAAAGGCCCTGCAGTGGGAAGGACCTGTCCAGGGCAGGGAAGCAGAGGAGCCGCCAAGGCCAGTGTTGCTCCTGGGATGAGAGCCGAGAAGAGGCACAGACGTGACCCTCACCATGGGAACGCACTGTGGTCATGCACTGGAAACAAACAGCGGCTGTCCTGGCAGGTGCCGGTGCTTGTGCGCAGTCCCCTCCTGGGGCTCAGTCCTCCTGCTGGGCTCAGTCCTCCTGCTGGGCTCAGTCCTACTGCTGGGGCTCAGTCCTACTGCTGGGGCTCAGTCTCCCTCCTGGGCTCAGTCCCCCTGCTGGGGCTCAGTCCTCCTGCTGGGCTCAGTCCCCCTGCTGGGCTCAGTCCTCCTGCTGGGCTCAGTCCCCCTGCTGGGTTCAGTCCCCCTGCTGGGCTCAGTCCCCCTGCTGGGGCTCAGTCCCCCTGCTGGGGCTCAGTCCTCCTGCTGGGCTCAGTCCCCCTGCTGGGTTCAGTCCTCCTGCTTGGTGCAGTCCCCCTGCAGGGCTCAGTCCTCCTGCTGGGTTTAGTCCTCCTGCTGCGCTCAGTCCCCCTGCTGTGCTCAGCCCCTCTGATAGGGCTCAGTCTCTCTGCTGGGCTCAGTCCCCTGCTGGGCTCAGTCCCCTCCTGGGGCTCAGTCCCCCTGTTGGGTTCAGTCTCTCTGCTGGGCTCAGTCCCCTCCTGGGGTTCAGTCCCCCTGCTGGGCTCAGTCCCCCTGCTGGGTTCAGTACTCCTGCTGGGCTCAGTCTCCCTGCTGGGCTCAGTCCCCTCCTGGGGCTCAGTCCTCCTGCTGGGTTCAGTCCCCCTGCTGGGGCTCAGTCCCCCTGCTGGGTTCAGTCCTCCTGCTGGGCTCAATCCTTCTGCTGACACTCAGTCCCCCTGCTGGGCTCAGTCCCCCTGTCTATGGGAGTTAGACTAGGGCCCAACTACTGCTTGAGATACGTTTGCTCCTGCTGGGGACTCAGGCTCTCCATATGGGGCTCAGTCCCCTGCTGGGGCTCAGTCCCCCTGCTGGGGCTCAGTCCCCTTGCTGGGCTCAGTCCCCCTGCTGGGGCTCATTTCCCTGCTGGGGCTCAGTCCTACTGCTGGGGCTCAGTCCCCCTGCTGGGGCTCAGTCCTCCTGCTGGGGCTCAGTCCTCCTGCTGGGGCTCATTTCCCTGCTGGGGCTCAGTCCTACTGCTGGGGCTCAGTTCCCCTGCTGGGCTCAGTCCTCCTGCGGAGGCTTAGTATCTGGCTGGGCTCAGTCCCCCTGCAGGGTTCAGTCCTCCTGCTGGGCTCAGTATTCTGCTGGGCTCAGTCCCCTGCTGGGGCTCAGTCCTACTGCTGGGGCTCAGTCCTCCTGCTGGGGCTCAGTCTCTCTGCTGGTCTCAGTCCCCCTGCTGGGCTCAGTGCTTCTGCTGGGCTCAGTCCTCCTGCTGCGCTCAGTCCCCACTTGCTGAGGCTCAGTCCTCCTGCTGGGCTCAGTCCCCCTGATAGGGCTCAGTCCTCCTGCCTGGTTTCAGTACCCTCCCTGCTGGGGCTCAGTCTCCCTGCAGGGCTCAGTCCATCTGCTTGGTTCAGTCCCCCTGCTTGGGCTCAGTCCCCCTGCTTGGTCTCAGTCCCCCTGATAGGGCTCAGTCCCCCTGCTGGGCTCAGTCCCCACTTGCTCAGTTTTCTGGCCCGGCTGGCCGGATGCTGAAGAGCCGCATGGCGCCCCGTGCTGATTCTCTTGGGGGGGCAGGTGCGCTGCGTCCGTGCATCCGAGGTTGGCCGTGGCTCCACACGGCCTGAGCCGCTTCCTTCCGGCACGAGCGCTGTGACTCTGATGTCCCTGTAACCGACTCTGGCCGCTAAGCTCGCCTTGCCTGCCCGCGACAAAGCCCAGCTGCCGCCGTCCTACTCTGCGGCCAGGCTTCCCGTGTTCCGTTGACGCTTTGCCCATGTGTGTGCTTCCTGTGTGTGTGCTGTGTGGTCTGCCTTCCTCCGGGCGCCAGCACCGGCCCCCGGGTGGGAAGACTCCCCTCTGTCCCTGGGGCCGGGGTACAACTCCGAGAACCCGTCGTCATTCTTGGTGGGAATTTCTGAACACGACTTTCATCTCTGTACCGGCTGCGGCTCCGTCCACTGCGCCCACCTCCGCGAGTCTGTCTTAGGCTGGACACGTGGACGGTCCGCGTCTTCCTGAGCTATCGGCCACGCGCTCGGCTTCTCCCTACCGTGTACCTGGTGGCCATCTTTCCTCTCTTGATTTTAGCAATCTGAGACTTCTCGCTGTTGAGAGCCAAGCTCAGGTTTGCCGTTCGGTGCTCTTGGACAGTCCATTGGTCCTCGGACGTCCCTCTGTCTACGGTTTCTTTCTGCTCCGGCCCCTGCTGCTTCCTTCCAGCTGGTCTGGCTCAAGTTTGCTGTCCCACCCAGCACCGTACGAGGGGGGGGGTGGGGGGGGCAGGAGCGGCGCTTCCTTACCTGACTTTGCAGGTAAGAACGACCCTCTCGGCGCCACGCCGGCTGCATCCCAAGCTCCTGTGTGACATCTTTATTCTTACACGTCTGCACTGATGCAGGATTGAAGTCCCACACACCTGCTGTGCTCTCCTGATCCGACTGTGGAGCTGGGAACACGCCGTGCACGGTGCCCGACGCGTGCTGGGAACACGCCGTGCACGGTGCCCGATGTGGTGCTGGGAACACGCCGTGCACGGTGCCCAATGTGTGCTGAGACACGCCGTGCACGGTGCCCGATGCATGCTGGGAACACGCCGTGCATGCTTCCTGACGCGTGCTGGGAACACGCCATGCACGGTGCCCAATGTGTGCTGGGAACACGCCGTGCACAGTGCCCAATGTGTGCTGAGACACGCCGTGCACGGTGCCCGACGCGTGCTGGGAACACGCCGTGCACGGTGCCCAATGTGTGCTGGGAACACGCCGTGCACGGTGCCCAATGTGTGCTGAGACACGCCGTGCACGGTGCCCGATGCATGCTGGGAACACGCCGTGCATGCTTCCTGACGCGTGCTGAGAACACGCCGTGCACGGTGCCCAATGTGTGCTGGGAACACGCCGTGCACGGTGCCCAACGCGTGCTGAGAACACGCCGTGCATGCTTCCTGACGCGTGCTGAGAACACACCATGCACGGTGCCTGACGTGGTGCTGAGACATGCCGTGCACGGTGCCCGACGTGGTGCTGAGACACACCATGCATGCTTCCCGACCTGTGCTGGGAACACGCCGTGCACGCTTCCTGACGCGTGCTGGGAACACACCATGCACGGTGCCCAATGCATGCTGGGAACACGCCGTGCACGGTGCCCGACGCGTGCTGGGAACACGCCATGCACGGTGCCCAACGCGTGCTGGGAACACGCCGTGCACGGTGCCCGACGTGGTGCTGAGACATGCCATGCACAGTGCCCGATGTGTGCTGAGAACACGCACGCCGTGTACGCTTCCCGACGTGGTGCTGAGACACGCCGTGCATGGTGCCCGACTGCGGTGCTGAGACACGCCGTGCACGGTGCCCGACGCGTGCAGACCTGGTTCACAGGTTCACTTGCCAGCACATCTCCTGCAGGTGGGGGCGGGCTCTGTAGCTGTCTGTCAGGACACAGTAGGGTGTCTCCTGTGGGAGTGAGCGGGCTCCGTAGCTGTCTGTCAGGACACAGTAGGGTGTTTCCTGCAGGTGGGGGCGGGCTCCGTAGCTGTCTGTCAGCTCCGGCTGGTTGACGGTGCAGCCCGTTTTCGACTTCCTTGCTCACCTAGTCTACCGTGTTGGACGTCCACACTTACTTCTGAATCATCCGTCTGCCTGGGGAGCCGTCAGGTGAGTTCTCGCGGGTGGTTTCTATAAAGCGTCACTCTAGCTCTGACAGGCTGTGCGCGGTCTCCTCCCATCTCTCACCGCACTTTCAAACCTGAAAGCCGCCTCCCCAGACAGCAGAGCCGGCCCAGCCTTCACCCGTCCTAGGGAACCCCTGCGCCTGGCTGCATTACCGCGCACGCATTTCCAAAGCCGCTGACCGACTGGGGCTTGCGGCCGACCTGTGCGGCTCGCGCCTCGCTCTCCTCTCTCCACTGCGACACTCTGCCAGCTTTCCCGACCTTTCCCACCACCGTCTGGCTGTCTTCCTGGCGGCTGCTCCAGGGGCTGCGTGCACACCGCTCCCACAGACAACCCCAGCCAGGTACGCGGCGCATTCTTCCCGCCCGCTGACCGCCACACCTCGGACGTCTGCTCACGTCGCACACGCAGCAGCACAGGCTCACGGTCACTGCTTCCCACAGCGCCCCCTTCAGTCAAGAACCTGAGCGCCCTGCTGTGGCCTGGGGAAGCAGTGGAGGACGGCCCAAGTCCTTGGGCCCCTGCACTCACATGGGAGACCTGGAAGAAGCTCCTGGCTCCTGATCAGCTCAGCTCTGGCCATTGCTGCCAGACCAGCGGATGGAAGACCTCCCCCTCCCTCTCCCTCTCCCTAACTGTGCCTCTCAAATAAATAAAATCTTAAAAGAAAAAACACTCCGAGTGCATGCACCGTGTTTCTCCCTGGCGATGCCCTCAAGCCAACACCTCCAAGGGCTGCCGTCTTCCTGCGTGGGAGACGTTTCTGCCCCACGCGTGTGCGTGCGGGGCTCTGCTCGTCCTGCGTCTGGAGCGCACGGATTCCGCCAGCTGTGGTTCGCTGCCTTCAGCCCGTGTGGGAAGCCTTCGCAACCACTTCTCAGTAGTTCTCCCACTCCTTCATCCCCTTTCCCCAGCCGTGGCTCCCACTGCCCTGCCTGAAAAACCCCACCCCCTTCCCTGGGCTCTGCTCATCCACCTTCAAGCTGTTTCCGCTGGTGTGCGTGTTCGCGTCTCTCCGTCAGTCGCTTCCTCACTGAACATTTCCCTCTGTGCTAACTGGGCATTCCAGCGCACCTCTGCTGGCGTCACCCGGGATGCGTGGGGGCGGCGGTCTCCAGGGTCTCTGATGGCTCTGGAGAGCTCTCTGGCTAAAGGTCGCGGCGCACCTGCTGCCGGGCGATGTCTCTCCAGAAGCGCTGTCTGCACCGTGTGACGCTCTCTGTCCCGTGGTGGCTCGAGGGCCTGGAGACCAGGCCAGAGCAGGGGGCGTACCCAATGGGCAGGTCCACTGCGCCGCTCAGACCGTCCCCGCCCCCCGCTGGCTTGGTGCAGACAGCGCCAGGGGCCACCGTGGGAGCCCGGGCAGACGTGGTGCTGACCGTGCCCCAGTGCACCCAGGTATGCAACTGCGCTCCACCGGGTGTCAGGTGACCCGGGCTCCCGGCCACTGAACAAAGTAGCAGCGCCGCCTCCTCCTGACCCAACCCCAAAGCTTTGTCTCCCAAGACGATACGTTCTACCAGCCCGGCCTCGACTGCTGGACTCGCTCTGGCTGCGGCCTGAACCCACTCTCAGTGCCCTGGCGAGCGCCCTGGCTGCGACCCCCGGCCCAACGTGTTCTCTTTGCTGGTCTCCTGTGGACCAGACCCTGCCCGCCTCCCTCCGCTCCGCCGGGCTCTGGCTCCGCGTGGACCCAGTGGACTCGGCCACAGCTGTGCCCCCCGTGACCTGCGGGTGCGACCACCTGAGGCAGGTCAAGGCTGGGTCCTCCTGGACACGGCACTCGCTGGGGGTGAAGACGCAGAGAAAAGACCACGTGAGGACGCGCGGCGGGCCGGCCGGGAGAAACCCAGACCTGGGGCTCCGACGTGCCGCCTCCAGGCCCGGTGACAGCCCAGCTGAGCAGGTGCCACACGGAGCCTAAACGAAGCCACTCCCGGGAGACGTCTTCTTACCAGGCCTCCTCTGGGACAGCTGGCCCGTGCCGACGGGCAGTGCCTGGCCGCGTCCTGTCAGCCCGCTGCCTCTCGCCACACAGCCCACAGCGCGCCCGAGCTGGGGGGCCACTGCACCCCGCCATCCTGGCTCTGCCTGGGTCCCCCCAGGGACTGCGCTTCCTCAACCCAGCCTGGGCGGCCGAGACCGGCCGGGACGTGGCCCCTGGTGAGGTCAGGGAGCCCAGGGGCTGCACCCCGTCTTCTCAGCCACCCTCCAAGTGAGCTTCTGTCAAGCTGAGGGGAGCAAGGATGGGATGGGGGGGGGCTGCGGGGGCCTTTTCAGCACAGAATTCGGTTCTGCCCTCCACGCCTGCGCTCCTGGGGGTTTCCGGGTCCGCCAGGTTTGGGGAAGCACCGCCCACCTGGAAGCTCCCACCACTGCCAAGCCAAGGGACAGTCGGGGCGCCCGCTCCCCACGGCCGCCTCGGCCTCGCGGTCCCCGCGCCGGCTGCTCTGAGCACTGCGGGAGCCCGGCCGCCCCCGCACGGGCACGCGCACGGGCACGCGCACGGGTGGGCGCCGTTACCCACCCGCTCCTCCGCCAACCCTGGACCGCGGGAAGCCGAGCACTGGCCACAGGAGGCTCCGCCCACTTGTGCCTGCGGGGGAGGCGGCCCTGGGCGGGACAGTGCCCCGCCCGTCCAGCCTGGCCCTCCAGGGTCCTGGGCGCGGTTCGTGGCCTCACCCGCACTTGATGCTGCAGCTGCAGCCCTCGGCGCTCCCAAAAGCTCGCCAGTGGCCCGCGACCCGAGGGCATCGCGGCTGCTTCCGCACCGCACCGCACCGCACGGCTCAGGCGCGCGTTCTGCGCCTGCGCGCTTCCACCCGGCGATGGCCCGCGGGCTTCCAGTGAAGGGGCAGCTGGGGGGGGATGGGTCAAGGCCACTCCTACAGCTGCTGCCCTGACCCCCACCCCTGCTGCACCTGCTGCTCTCGCCCAGCCCTCGGCCGCACCTGTCCTCGCCGTCCCCACCCCAGCCCCCGGCTCTGGCTCTGCGCTGACCAGCAGACGGACAGCGCCAGGCGAGGGCTTTCCGCGCCTGACCACGCTCCCCGTGACCGCACAGCCTCAGGGGTGGGGCCGGGACGCACCCTCGCCCTCCTCTTCCATCCTCAACGCCCCCTACACACACCCGGACTCGCCCCGCCCCACGCCCGGACCGGCCCCTACCCCCGCCCGCATGCAGCTGAGCCTGGTTCCAGCCCAGGCTTCCCGGGCCGTGACGGTCCCTCCTGGCTCTGGAGAGCCCACTGGAGCCCGGCAGGACGGTCCCGAGGGTCCTGGGCACCTCCTCATACGTGCTTATCACCTCACCTGGGCGTGCCACGTGCGCAGCCCCACTGCGCTCTCGCCCAGGGAACGGAGAACCTCCGCTTGCGGCAGTGCACAGGGGCCCAGGGCCCGAGTACGGCCCGTGCTGCTGCACCGCTTCGCGCTGAAGCTGTCGACAGTTCAGCAGCGCTCGCTCCAGTCCATAAATTCTGCAAGAGCCGAAGAGGCAGGGGCCGACACACGGGACCCAGGCACTGTCTTCAAACAGGGAGCGGGTCTCCATGCCCTGTGGGGGCCGACACACGGGACCCACGCACTGTCTGCAGAACAGGAAGCGGGTCTCCATGCCCAGCGGCTCAGCGGGCGCCCCCTCCACCAGCCACGCCCACGACTCCACGCCCTCCCTTGGTCCCCTCCTCAGGCCCTCGGCTCCCACTCCTTCCCCACCTTGCGCTAGCCAGAGACGGCAGCGGAGGCAGGGACAGAACCCGGCGGGGCCGTCCCAGGCAGCGTGCGTGCGGTCAGACTCGCTGGGACGCCCCCTAGCTGGCACCCGGCTCTCTCCCAGCCTGCACCCCGGGAGCCCTCACCCCTCTCTTCCCCAGTGCACCAGCCCCTGGCCGTGGGCTTCTCCTGCCTGCTACAAGCCTCTCTCCCCAGACGGTGCTGACCCCCTGCCCAGGGGTCCCGGCGCAGCAGGGCGAGCAGAGCGCTGGTTCCAGCCCCAGCTACCCCACTTGCAATCCAGCTCGGTGCCCACGAGCCTGGGAGGCAGCAGGCGATGGCCCAAGTACTTGGGTTCTTGCCGCCCACGTGGAAGGCCAGGTGGAGCTTCTGGCTCCTGGCCCGGCTCCGGCTGCTGTGGCCATCTGTGGAGCGAACCGTTTGGAAGGTGGGAAGCGGATCAGCACCCTCCCACGTGCGGTGCGGGTCAAATCCCAAACCTGCAGAGTACTTTCGTAAACACGTAAGCGGGAAAGGGTAGAACGGGCCCGGCCTGGGACCCACGGCCTGGGGCTCCCTCCAGCCAGGCAGCCCTGGGAAACAGGGCAGTCACTGACCCTCCCAGACGAGAGTGCGCCTTCCAGTCTACCCCGACGTGTGTCTCTGGGGCGCACGTGACTTCTGAATAAAACGGACGCATCTCTGGAACTGAACACCACGTCCCTCCAAGTCACTCGGCTGTGCGTACTGTCGGCCCAGGGCGGGGCCTAACCCCACCTTCGCACCAGTGTTTCCCGCGGCGAGGTGAGGACACTGCTGGGCCATGGCGGACCAGAGAAGCCTGCATTCCCTGCTCGTGGCCCGGGCGCGACCCGAGCAGTCAGTCCCTCTCCCCAGACTCAGCAACAGGGCTCAGTACCAACACTCGGCCTCCAGGTCTCTGCTCTCCAGCCCCGGAGGGACTCTGGGCCTCCAGGCTGCGGCGAGTGGACAACCGCTCCCCCCACAGAGGCGGCTCCGGGTCCACAGCCCGGGACACGCCCCCCCCACCCCCGCGGAGGCGGCTCTGGGTGTGCGGCTCTGGGTGTGCAGCCCGGGACACGGCCCCCACCCCGCGGAGGAGGCTCGGGTCGCAGCCCGGGACACGCCCCCCCCCCCACCCGCGGAGGAGGCTCCTGGTCGCAGCCCGGGACATTGCTCCCCCCTGAGGAAGCGGCTCCCGGTTCGCAGCCCGGGACACACCCCACCCCACCCCCGCGGAGGCGGCTCCGGGTCCGCAGCCTGGGACACGCCTCCCCCCCCCCTGCGGAGGCGGCTCTGGGTGTGCGGCTCTGGGTGTGCAGCCCGGGACACGGCCCCCACCCCGCGGAGGCGGCTCCGGGTCTGCACCCTGGGACACGCCCCCCCCCCCCCCCCGCGGAGTTGGCTCAGATGTGCAGCCCGGGACACCCCCCCCCCCCCCCGAGGTCTCTCTTCTGGGCAGGGCAGGCGGCAGCTCCCTGCAGTGCAGACTGCACAAGGCGCCCCTCCGCCCGAGACTTCCCATCCTTTGGCCAACAACTCTGGGTCACTGTGGCCTCCCGGAAAGTCCTTTAGGGCCCTTGACACTGCCTCGTCCCAGGGCTGCTGCCCAGAGGTCACAGAGCTGGGGCCCGGGACCACATGAGGGCAGGACCCACACTCAGCAGGGCACCAAGGCGTAGCGGGGCTGACGGGCCTAAGCAGGCCGCAGCTGCCCACCACGGCCCGCGGCCCCCAGTGCACCTGCAGCGTCTCACGGTCAAGCACACGCCTCTGCCCCGGCTCCTGACTTCCGCACTCACACACCTGCCGTACACAATTCACTTATGACGGGGCAACTTTCGGAACTTGAGAGAGCCGGGGCGGGCCGGTGCACCGAGAGCCCGGGTGGCGGGCCGCGAGGGCTGCAGCCTCAGGCACACGTCCCCGGTGACACGCGAGCAGCTCTCTGCGTGTGCTGTGAGCAGGCCGGTGTGACAGTCAGTCAGCAACTTCAAAGTGACGCGAATCCATTTAAATACATAAAAGTTTATTAAAAATAGGCTGTAACTGGAGTACAGTAGAAATGAGACTACAGCAGTTCCGATGCTTCCCGTGGTGCACGCCGCTGAAAGCGCTTTTACACGTATACACGTCTGCCCTGACTCTCCCGGTGGCACGCACAAGCCCTGCCCCGTGTCCCGTGCCGCCGTGCACCTGTCGTTCCGCATGCTAACAGCACGCTGGGTGGCGGCACGGTCTCCCCGTAGAGCAGGTGTGGACCCGGTCACGGCCAGGCCGCCAGTGCTCAGAGACCTCCGGGAGCAGCCTGCTCGCCTGGCCCCTCCCCAACGCGTGGAGCACCTACGCTCTTCCTTAGCAAAGGAAACGTGAACGCACGCTTCAACTAGAACCCTGACAGCACAGAGTATCCACGCTGCTGCCTCACAGTGGATGGCACAGCCCCAGACGAGCGGCTTCTGTTCAGAGTGCGCACCGGCCGGGGGGGGGGGGGGGGCTGTGCGACCACGCGCGCCTGCCTCACACACGTCCGGAGGACAGCACGGCGGAGGAACCGCCTGGCCTCACGGGGGGCTGCTGTGCGACCACAAGGGAGTTCACCATTTTCACATCACACAACATCAAACAAACTGAGGTCCGTCTCCCCAGCACCTGCCACCTACCCACAGCTGGAGACAGGAGAGTTAAATAACCACTACACCGCAAGCAACAGCTCCAACTGCCTACGCGTCACTCGTGGAATACGTCGCTCACAGACGCCAGTGGCTCAGCCTTCCTGCAGCTGTGTCTGCCCGTGGACCGGGGGCACAGTGCAGGCGGTGTCGCCTCTGCTCCTGGGCTCAGGGACACTGTCCGCAAAGGAGACCCCTTCACAGGCCCGAGGATCTGCAGCCCGGCGGACTCTCTGATGTAATGCTCTCGAAATTCATCCATGATTTATTAACCTAACAACTATCCGGTACTTCTAAAAACAAAAGCCCCTAAGTTTAAATCCCCAAATTTCCATTTAGGAGGGTTTCTTTAAGTCAAATATTTAGAACTGATCAGGAGTGGCGTGGAACAGTCTGGAACCCGAGGGGCCTCCCAGCCGGCAGCAGGCACGGCCGCCACCGAGCAGTGCAAACAGCAGTCCAGTAGTTCAAGCTATTCACTCTGGAGGCTACAACAGGGGTCTTTGACAAGGAGAGGAACAGGACTTGCCTGTCGAAGCCCCTGTGAGGACTACGGGGCTGGTGGGGCGGGGGCGGACCCACCCTCCTCCCTGTGGCCTCTCAGCCTGGAGCGGCACACGACCCTTATCTTCCACTCAGAAAATGAAGACGTCAGCACGCCAGCTGCGTAAGTGAGAATCTTTTGGTAAAGTGAGAGAACACTTCTTGGAGCCTGAACACCTCTAAATCCCAGCCACTTCAGACAGGGCCGCTGTCACTCAGCCCACGACCCGCAAGGCAGCGTCCGGCACGGCCCTCCTCACTTGGTGTTCAGTTCGTTTTCCAGTTCTGTCAGTTTCCGGGAGGCTTTGACTTTGTCGGACACGTCCTGGCCTTGCGAGAAGAGACGCTGGCGCTCTCTGAACGTCAGGTTCTCAGGGGCCCCGGCACTCCCAGGCGAGTCCGCGTCGTGGCTGTGTGGGTCAGACAGGCAGCGTCAGCGAGCGAGGCGTCCGCACGGCAGGCCGTGACTGCCCAGTGAGGAGGCTCACTCTCAAATTTCAGTACGATTTTTTCTGCGATTAAAACTACTGGGGCGCTGGGGCGCAGCAGGTTCGGCCGCCGCCTGCAGCGCCGGCATCCCACCTGGTGCTGGTTAGGGTCCCGGCTGCTCCACTGCCCACCCAGCTCCCTGCTCTGGCCTGGGGAAGCAATGGAAGACGCCCAGGTGCTTGGGCCCCTGCACCGTGTGGGACACTCCTGGCGTTGGCCTGGCCCAGCCCTGGCCAGACGATGGAGGATCTCTCTCTCTCCCCTCCCTCTGCAACTCTTTCAAATAAATAAATCTTAAAAAACCACTGGGCTGCACTGAAGCCCACTAGGCAATGAGGGCAAAGTCACACTCCTCTCTCACAATACTAACTGGTGCCCATCTACCAGCAGTGCCGCTGACTAGCGGCGTGTGGGACCCGAGACGCCCGTGAATACGCCTCCTCCAGGACTGAGCTCCGGAACGGCCCGGGCGAGGGCCCCGCTTCCCCTGGTGCGCGGCCGAGACCAGCTGCCTCGGCCACTGCCCCCGCCGCCTGCCTGCTGCCGGGGCACACACGCCACTGCTGCGAACAGCGCTCAGGGCACACGGAGCTTAGCAAGGCCCTGCTCACACCCGCCCGGCCCAGCACCCTTACCTCTTACTGCGCTTCTCCCTGGGATCCCGGGAGGCGTCCTGGGCTCCGGCGGCCGTCCCAGTAGATCCCGTGTAAGAGTTTGGTCCTTCCCAGAAAAAGAAACAAAGTTCAGCTGCGTGCATTATTTCTGAACGTTACGGCGAAGGTGCGGTGCCCCCAGGACCGAGGTCTCTACTGGGTGCACGGGAGACCCAGAGGCCCAGGCTGGACAGAGGAGCCGTCAGTTAAGAACACCTGTCGCTCAGTGGCCCGAGGCGGCTGCTCCCTACCCAGAGACGGGGCTCGCCGACTCGGGCCTGGGATGAGAGGAGAACTGGGCGGCTGTATCTCCCAGGAGCTCGGATCACATCACACACAGCACCCTGGAGTCAGAAGGTGGCAAAATGCCTGACCCTGAGGACTCTTAGACAATTTCAGGAGCAAACGTTAACACAAACATTAAGAAATAATCACAGGGCTGGTGCTGTGGCGGAGCGGGCGCAGCCGCCACCTGCAGCCTCGGCCTCCCATACGGGCGCTGGTTCGAGTCCCGGCTGCTCCACTTCCAATCCAGCTCTCTGCTGTGCCCTGGGAAAGCAGTGGAAGATGGCCCAAGCCCTTGGGCCCCTGCACCTGCGTGGGAGACCCAGAAGAAGCTCCTGGCTTTGGATCAGCTCAGCTCTGGCCGTTGTGGCCAACTGGGGAGTGAACCAGAAGATGGAAGACCCCTCTCTCCCTCTCTTTCCCCACCTCTTCCTCTCTGTAACTCTGACCTTCAAATAAATAAATAAATAAATCTTTAAAAAAAAAGGAGTAATCACAGGCTAAACTTCTCTTTTCAGAATAAAGTTTTCTTCCAAAATAAATGGTTACACTGGGGCCAGCATCATGGTACAACAGAGAGAACCGCTGCCTGTGACGCCGCATCCCATACGGCCCAGGTTCCTGTTCCAGCTGCTCCGCTTCTGATCCAGCTCCCTGCTGGAGATCTGGGAAAGCAGCAGAATACACACCAAGTGCTGGGCCCTGCACCCACTCGGGGGACCCGGAAAAAGCTCCTGGCTCTGGCCTGGCCCAGCCCCGGCTGATGTGGCCATTTGGGGAGTGCACCAGACCTCTCTCTGTCTCTCCCTCTCTCTCTGCAGCTGTTTTCAAATAAATAAATCTTTAAAAAATAAGTAAATGACTAAAGTTATGAAAAGAAAATAAAGCCTTGAAACAAACGAGCTACCCCACCGGCTCTGCTGTGGCACGAGACACCTACAAGGCAGCGGAAAGGGGGAGTGGAGGGGACAGACACCGGGCTGGCCGGGCCGTGCTGGCCGCGCACAACACCTGCCCTGTGACACCTGGGCACGAGCTGCCGCTGGAGCTCCGCAGAGCAGACGGAAGCCTGTAAACGGACCAGGCGGGAGCCGATGCGGTCACGGGCACCTCTGAAAACCGGGGGCGTCGAACCAGCGCTCGGGTTGTTTCCCTTGTTCAACACCAGCAGGAGAGTCACCTGCCACTGGAACACTGCCCGCCTCCGACAGCGCAGGCCGGGGGATGCAGGCTCAAGCCGAGCGGCCAACACCCGGCGTGACCTGGGTTAGACAGGGCACAGCACGGCACAGCATCTCCGCACTGACGCTCTCCTTTGGGCCGAGTCTTCCCGTTTCCCCAGCCGCCTCCGCGTGCAACCCGGGGCACCGCACCTTCCCTCAGTCCAGCCCGGGCTCCCGGCCTCGGCCAAGGCTGTGCGGACGGAGCCAGGAGCTCTCCCAGCCAAGCCACTGTGCCCCTCAGGCGACACCTGCATGCTGGGGTTTTCCCATTTTTAATTCGAATGTTTTGGCTTAAAATCATTGCATTCTATATTTTCAGCTTTAAGAATGATTTTGGCTTCTTCCACTGGTAAAAATGAGTTCAAAACGCCCAGGATTTTTAATCAGCCTATCAACTCCTTTTAGCCACGTGTACGTGGCAACTATAAAATGCAAGTTGTTCCCACGGCGCCTTTCACCGTGTCACCATGCTGAGTCCATGGTGCTGTGCTGCCCACACCCCCAGTGGAAGGTGCCGCGTCTGGTGTCCAGAAGCCAGCACTGCCAGAATGCCCCCAGCAGACACAGGGCTGGACAAGGGAAGCCGACAGGTTAGAGAAGGCAGAGGGGTGACAGCTCTGTACCACACAAAGGAGGTCTTGGAGGGGCCGAGCAGCGAGATGCAGGCCACGCCTCTCCGACGACTTACTGCCAGTGTGAAACAAGACAAGGTCGGTGGTGTGAGAGCCAGCGTGGCTGGAAGTGACTCCCCGCTGTGCTACCTGCTGCCAAGCCTGGTGTCTGTGCCATGAGCCTCACACGGCAGCTACTGCTCGGCCTATAGGATCTGCTGAGGGGCTGGCGGCACTGCGCCAGGCGCCGACGGAGAACTGAGCAGATGAGCCGTCATAACAGACTGCCCTGTATCTGAGGGGTCAGGAAGGAGGGGAAGGGAGCCGGGGTGCCCCACACCAGCACCAGCGCAGGCTGCATTTCAGAAGCCACTGCGTGCGGAACAAAGTCCCACTCGATGCACAGGGGAGCCCTGACACGGAACCGGCACCTCTTCCTGAGGCACTGACACAGGCAGGCAGGCAGGCAGCAAACGGCTGGGAGAGGCAGAGAACGGAAGCCAAGACCAACAGTACTTCCGGTGATTATGGGAGGACCGGAGAAGGGCAATCATGGCCGCCAATGGAGGACAGGGAAGTACAAGGCACACCAGAAATGGCAGTCCCCAGCCCTGGACCGGACAGGAGCGTGAGCAGACACTGCAATCGGGGGGCGGTCACCACGCAGGGGTACGTGACCCCGCGAGATTCGAATCCCAAAGCAGGTGCAGCCGCGACTCCAGGCCCAATCACGGGCCAGAGGGAGCTGGACTGCCGCCCTGTCTGTGCCTCTACCTGGAGGGTGGCGGGGGCGGCAGAAGCTCGGCTTTTTTGGAGGGGGCGGGGGCTGCCCCGCCCTGTGGGCAGTACTGTTGGCTTTGGCGGAGGGTGGCCGGAATGAGCTGGAGAGGGAGATGCCGTCGGAGGCCGGGCGTGGCTGCGGCTCCCGGGCGGCAGCAGGAAGGTGCCCATGAGACTTCCTGGTGCTGGAGTACTTATCCTGACCTGCCGGGCTGGGGTCCGACTCCGCCTCTTCCTCCTCCTCCTCGTACGCGACAAGCCTGGCCGTGAACAGCGAGTCTGGGGAGAGGGCCTGCGTTTTGAGGTAGGAGGTGTTCCGCTGGGGTGGAGGCGGGGGGGCGCCGAGGGCCGGGGACGGGCACGGCGGCTCGTAGTCCCGTGGCAGCGGCGGTCGGCTCAGCCCGGGCTCCTCGGGCTCCAGCAGCCTGCGCGCAGCCTCCTCGTGCTGTCTGCGTCTCTCGGCTTCCAGGCGGCTGTAATACCCCTCCTCCTGTCGCCTCTGCGGGCGGGAACACACAGAGTGCAAAGGTCAAGGAAGGGCAGGTGCGCTGGCCCGGGTCCCCATGGCCACCCTGACATCCACGGATAAGGTCACTGTCACTCTGAGGGAAGCAGCGGGAGGAGCCTGCGTCCCCTCTGGAGCAGGGGCCCGGACCCCCCGGCCGCAGGCACGGCCTGCAGCCGCCGTGCGCCGCCTCCCTCCTGCCTGCCTGCCTCCTCGCCTCCTTCCAGTGGCTCTCGCATGCGGGAGCTCGCTCTCCCCGCGGCCGGCAGGCTGGTGACTTACCTGTCGTTGCTGAGTTTTACAGACAACACACAACTAACACTGGCTGCGCCGCGCCCGCCACAGCGGCACCTTCGGGACAGACAGACTCCCCTGAGCTCAGTGCAGTCAGCGCGGCGGCCCCCGCAAGGAAGGCACGAGGGGTCCCCCAGTTTCCTTCCTTCCAGGGCCCGGCAGGGGTCAACAGGAGACCACGAACGTAAGACATCGCTTGTTTTCTCAAAGGAACCATCTAACACGTGGACTTCCCACAGTCCTGAACGCGCGTGTCCGATCTTCAGAAACTCCCTGGCGGGAGACGAGCGAGCCAGGCGTTCGCGGCAACAAGACACGGTATTCAGATATATTTCGACACGTGTTGTACACTGCTTCTGACACACATCTGCACAGACTACAGGCGACAGGAGTTAGAGTACTTTAACAGCAGAAAGGTAACAGCACAGTTGGTCAGATCGACAAGCTTTAGGGCACAAGAAGAAGTGAGAAAGAGGACGAAGGACCCGGCACAGCCCTGCCTCCCCGGGCAGCTCGGCAGGCTCGGTGCATTGTAAACTCAGCCAGCGGCACGGCGCGGGGCGCTTCCCGGCTGGGTCACTGCCCCCGAGCCACTGCGGCCTGCGCCGACGGTGGGGGACACACAGGGAGGAGGCCGGCGCGGCCATCGGCACCCACACCCTTTCTCACTTCATCTTCCGGCTCCCCCGAGAAGTCCTGCAGACAAGACGCCGTCATCTGCTCGGCCACGGCCGGCGCTGCCTGTGACTGCTGCGGCTCTGGACCAATGCCAAGGGCCAGCGCCGCGAGCAGTCAGCGCCGGGCACCGTGGGGCGAGCACGGCACCCCCTGCTAGTCACCCGGAGCACATGTAATTATGGGTCCTAAGACGACTCTGTTTCGCTCAGCAAGTGAACGGCACATTTTTCTAAGCAAACCCGTCAATTGTGGACATTCTGTATGAAAAATAGGTTCTTCAGCAACTTTTTACAGTGACCACTCGATGACAGAAGTAGTTACTAAAACACAAGGGCACCCAACACAATCATGAGTTAGGAGAACACAGCAGGAGGACCACAGAACCCAAGAGGCTCTCCACTCGGGCACGGCCCGCCCTGCTCGCCCAGGGCTGCACGGGGCGAGGCCCAGGCGGCTGCCACCAGGGCCCCATCGGGAAAAGCTTCTCCCCGGAAACGGCCGGGGGTTTCCTGGGACACAGATGTCACCACTAAACACCACCCGCTCTTGGAAACCGAGCGGCTGAGGGTTCTCAGCGCCTCCACCTGACTCTGACGTCGGTGACCTCCCCTCCAGCCCCGCGCTCGAGCGCCTGACAGCTGCTCAGACGTTAACTAAGTGAGGGCGGGGCCGCCAGCCAGGATGGACGCGGCCTGGGCCCCCACTGTGCGCCCTACGCCCGCCCCGCGTCTCCACCTCACCCTTAGGTGGCTCTGCAGCCTCACAGATCACTTCACTACAAAAGCCCCCGGGAGTCTCTAGGTGTGTGTGTGTGGGGGGGGTCTGTTAATACAGCTCACTGGATCAGCAAGGAGGAACTGTTAATTACAACTAAATCGTCCCCCACGCCTTCACGGAAGGGGAGGACTGAGAACATGGCTCAAAGCAGAGCTCCACGCGGGCCCGTGGGACAGACCTGGGTGCCCACAAAGGCTGCAGCCACCTCCTCCCTCAGCCTCAGCCTCAGACACCAAGACCACGAGACCCGGGGAACACCTCAGAGCCCCATTTCTCAGGGACGTCGCGGGAAAGTTCAAAGGAAAGGATCGCTTGAATTCCAAAGCACAGGACGGAAACAGACGAGGCAGGGCACTCACGCGACGGCGCGCTACAGTCTCCGTGGGTAAGCTCCTGGAGCCGCTCGGCACCCGCGCACTGCCTCACCGTGCCCCTGCTGCCTCCCGCGGCCCCCACTCCACGCAAAGGTCACCCTCACCCGGCACGGCAGCAAGCTGGACCACGTCCACGGGGGCACAGTCCCAGGGACACGGACCCTGAGCCACGAGGCCCACTGCCAAGCACACCTAAGCGTTCGCCGTTGGAGGGAGACGGCTCAGAGGAGGCAGGGGATCTGGAGAGCCGAGCGAGACGCAGGCGGGCCGGACGCGGCCTGGTCCAGCCCCTCCGCCCCAGCCACGAGTGACGCCCGGCCGCTCTGCACGCTGCCTGCCCTCAGAGGACCACCACCTTTTCCTCAGCGTCCCGTTTCATGCGCTCCTCCTCCAGCCGCGCGCGGTCTTCCGCCTCCCGCTTCCGCATCTCCTCCAGCTGCTGCTGCCGCCGGCGCTCCTCGTCCTGCAACTAACAACACAGCGGCGTCAGCCTCCACGCAGCCCCACCAGCACGAGACGCAGGCACACGGCAGGACACGGGAACAGGGACACGGAGACACACACGCACGCACACACGCAGTTAAATACGCAGCAGCGAGTGAAAGCCGCTGCGGAGACAGAACCTGCGCGTCTTCCAGCTCCACAACCTCACGGGCCGTCGCAGTCCCAGGGTGACTCACAGCTCAGACGTGCCCACAGAAGCCAGCTCGCGTCTGTGAAGCCGCGCTCAGGCCGAGCAGCTCCGTGGGAGCACAGCACAGCCCGCGGGGCAAGGAGCCGGCCCCCCCGTGTGGCAGCACCGCCCCCTGCGGACCAGGAGCACCAAGAGCAGTGTGCCTGCAGCACCCGTCTCCTTCCCGGGCACCAAGCACCTGGGTGCCTCCCCCGGCCACCGGCTGCCTCGGGTCCGTCCTGGACTGCAGGCGCTGTGTCCCAGCTCAGGGACGCCTGCCAAGGCACGGGCTCTGCACTGGGGGCTGCTGTCTCCCTCCCAATACGTCTTCCACTGTCACCACGTCCAGACGCTGGTCTCAGACTCCGCACGCGGCAAAGCTCAGTCCTCGTGAAGCAAGACAGAAACGCCCAAGGCCCAGGACGGACTTCTGGGTCTGCGCTCCTCGGGCCCCTGCTGCGTCCCTCTGTGCTCCAGGAAGGAGCCCGAGATGAACAGCCAGGTCAGAACAGAACGGCCGCGCCCTTGCTGTCGCCTCCAGGTCCCCGAGGAACCGCATTCCCCGCCAGCACCAGGAAGAGACTGGGCCCCGAGGGACCCCCGGCTGCACTGGCACACGGCCAGGAAGCCACCTGCAGTTCCTGCCGCGGCAGGAGCCTCGCCCACACGACGCCTGGCACGGGACTTTAATTTCTATGGCACCGCCAGTCTTATAGGAACGTTTAGAGCAACCGTTTAAATAGCTACCTTCTGAATTTGAACTGTGTTTGCATTAATTTTTGGAACAAAAATACACTATTTTTGTTCCTGATAGAAAAAATGTACTATACGTTACGGGACAGCAGCAGCTCCGAGGCCGGCGAGCCGAGTGCGTCACTTACACACTTCTGGGGAGGAGGGCAACTGACCCTACCATCTGATTTTCTCGCCTCAGCAAACATCATAAAAGGTAACAGAAAAACTGCAAGACAAAATAACGTCCCTTTTCTCTAGTGTGACCCAGAGGTCACAGGAGGGAGGTCAGGTGACTGCGTTTATGCAGGAGCAGACACAGGGCAGCGCGGCAGGCCCTGCCCAGCGTCACCGCGCGATGGGACGCGTCCGTCGCCGGGGACTCCAGCGCCAGTCCCGGGCACACACCCCAGGGAAGCAGCCCCACGAGGAAGGCAGAACCGCACTCAGGCAGCGCGGTCTCCCTCGCCCAGCAGGCACAAAGCAAGGCAAGCTGGTGGCAGGCCCGCAGAGAACAGCACACACTGATACGGCGGCTACGTCCTGCAGCACGGACGCGGCCTCTAAGAACCCGAGCAGTCACCACTCTCACAGGTACGGGGGCTGTCTTGTCTTGTATCCCCGGCAGACGGCCGGTCCTACACCAGGGGGGGTGGGGGTGGGGGTGGGGAGCTGCTCTGTGCTCTGTGTCTTGTATCCCCGACGGGCGCCCGCCCTTACGGCTGGTCCTACACCTGGGGCGGGGGGGGGGGGGGAGGGAGCACAGCTGCTCTGTGCTGTGTGTCTTGTATCCCTGACGGGCGCCTCATGGCCGGTCCTACACCTGGGGGGAGGCTGCTCCGTGCTCTGCAGCTCTTCATCGCTGCAAGGGGAAAGCCACTTGCCAGCACTGCTAGAACTTCAGGCAGTTCCTGCCCACTGTCGGCTGGTTCACGTTCCTTTCATTTCCTAAGCTTCTGTCTCCCAAGGACAGGCTGGCCAACTGCCCCTCGGCCTGCGAGGCACTGACGAGAAAGGGAAGCTCCGCCCAGCTCAGAACAGTGCGCCGTCCTTAGAGACAGTGGCCCCAGGCGTGTCCCCTGCAGCTGCAGTCACCCACAGTCCAGGACCGGAGGCCTGCCTGCCTCACGAACCCTGAACTCCACTCCTGGGCCACGCAACCCATCAAGACAGCCCGGCAACATGCTGGGAGGGGACCCTCCGGCCAGCGTCCACGCTGGCAGTCCACGTTCCTAGAGAAGCAGGACAGAACAGCACGCCGGGAGCTGTGCGTTTAGTTCTGTACCACAAAACCACATCCGACCAGGAACTAGACCAGGGCTGCTCTGCCCCGCACCTGCTGGCACGCGTCCAAGCCCTTAAGAAACGTCTCGCTGCATCTGCTCACCCGCTAACACGCTTACCCTACAGGTGACTCAACGCCAAAAACCCCAGACGACACCTGCTCAGGCCTTCACACGCTGACTCGGCCCTGCCCGGCCCTGCCTCAGACCCCTGGTGGCGGACAGCTCCCTGCCCTGAGCCCAGGCCTGTGGCTGTCTCATCAAGCATTTGGCTGCGCAGGGACGCCGTGGCCCCAGCGCACACCCTGAGGTCCCCACGGGAACAGTCTGCTCTGACACCGTCACACACAGGGCACTTCTCCCTCGAATCCCCTAACTCCTGCAGCCGGGTGAGGACACCCGCCCCTCCCCCAGGGTGGAGCCGGTTCCCACCTGCAGCAGCCCCAGCCTGCGCCGGCTCCCTGGCTAACAGGCCCCGCGCCAGGCCTCCTAGCAGCTTCCACTTCAGATTGTGCACGACTTTTAATCATACCCCCCACCCCCCCGGCGGCTGACGTTTCTGAACACGTCTCTCTCAGGTATGTCCCCAACAAGACTTCTTCCTGCATTCGTGCGCTGCCCCAGTCGGCAGACGGCCTGGGCAGCTGGGTAACAGCCCCTCAGAGGGCCAGGCCAAGTACACGTCCAGTGGGAAAACAGGTCCTGTGGTCAGAACCCCAACTCCCCCGTGGCTGTGGGCCTGGCCCTCCTGCTCCACGCACGTAACAGGGTGGGTTCTCCACAGAGCCCCCTGGCAACCCAGAGCGCACACGCTGCCACTCAGGGAAGGCCAGCCTGCTGCCCCCCAGACTCCGCCCTGACCAAGTCCTGGCTCAGTGGGCTCTTCAGGCACAGTGCCACGCACTCCACAGGCTTCCGGGAGCGGACCTGCCCTCCGTGCACGGGCGCGGCTCAGCCAGCAAGCTCACCGGGTCTCTGCACCAGTGAGCGACTGCCAGGGAGCAGCAGTCAGACCTGGGCTTCCTACGCTCCCCAAGGTCACCTCCCTCAGGGACTCAGCAATGTGGCCCAGGACCACACTCCACTCGCTCGGCGGGACTGACTGCCGACCACATGCCGGAACTTTCTAGAAACCTGGACAAGGGTCTCGCTCCATGGTGGTGCAAACACACACAGTGGTGAGTCCCGTTCAAGACGTCAGAGAATGGAGCCAGTGCTCAGCGAACCAGCAAGGCGCAGGGACAGGAGCGGGGAGGGGGGCACAGGTGGGGCACTCACCAGGATGCCAGCGTCTAAGCAAGACGTGCGTGGCAAAGGCAGCCAGCCACGGGGAGCCCAGAGAAGGGCAAGGAACACGGGGGGGCGGGGGCGGGGGGCGGCAGGCGGTCGTGAGCCCGGCATGGGGGGATGGTGCTTGCACACACCCAGCAGTGCCTGCAGCCGAGGACAACTGGGAATGTCTGTCCAGGTGCAGGGCGCCTCGCCCAGGAGGGCTCTGGGGACGACCTCCTGGGATCCCGCTGGCTGCATCAAGGAGGCCCTGTAGGGACCTGGGGCACGCCGGCCACTCCCTGCGGCACTGACCCAGGACATGAGAGGACGGCGGCTCAGGCCAGAGCAGGTTCGGAGGCAGTCGGGGCAGCCGTGAGGTTTCTGTGCTGGACGGGGGAGTGCGGCCGCGGTGGAGGGCTGCAGGGCAGGCTTACTCGTGACTCCCGGTGCAGGCCTTCAGACAGTCAGGTGGGCTCCCGGTCTTAGGGCGCGAGGGGCTGGGCTGGAAACGCGAGGGGTGTGGCCGGTGTCAACACAGTCCTGCGTCACAGGTCTGGGACGATCACAGAGGAAGGGGGCCAGGCCCTGGACTGATGGACCGGCAGGGAGGGCAGGGACCAGCCTAGGCAGCCCTGTCACCAAACAGAGCAGAACCCGCCTCGCTCATCTCATCGGGGCCCCACGGTCCTGGGGTCTGCCGACCACTGCCTCGCGAGTGGCACCAATCCACACTGGCCTCCAAGGTCACGCCCTGGCCAGATCCTCACCGATGGCACCTGCCGCTTCTGACAGCTAAGAGTTCCACAGGCATTGGCAAGGGACCAGGTGCTCGAGTATGGGGTAGCTAGGGTCAGCATCAACACTCCGAAATAGTTATCTTCTAACAAAGGGAACCGCACCACTTCTCCGTGCCACAGCTCCTGCGAGGTCCCCACGGCAGGAGGCGCCCAGCCCACCCCGCAGGCCGCTGCCCCATCTGTGCTCCTGTAGCTCACAGACAGGGAGCACTGTCCAGTTCCATGAACGGGCACCTTCGTATCTGTGCACAGAGAAAAATGGATCTTATTTTGTGTAAAACAAAATACACAGTGAGAGACTACGCCTGTCACACACGAGGCGGGGGGATCCCGAGCAAGGCTTCCCTCCGGGGCGACGCTGCTGCCGAGCCGATTAAGCTGGTTAGGAAAAGACGACGCCACGGGCGCTTAGAAGCCAAGTCTGCTCAGGGACTCCCCGTGCGCTGACGGGCACTGAATGCTGGCCGTAACCGGGTTAAACTCTGGGTCAGAGTACAACTGACAGGGCACCCGACAGCCAAGCAATCTCTAAGAGTACACGGAACACACTCAACTCGGCTGCTGTTTGGCACGGCCAACAGGCCCGGCGTCCACCCGTGGCGCTGCCCGCGCTCACTGGGAGCTCCCTCTACCCAGACGTGACGCCTCGGCCGCCGCTCACTGGCACTGCACTGAGCCCACGCAGACGGAACACCTGAAATCTACTCCAGTGAGATACACTGGCCGCTGTCACGTCAGTGCTCACGTGTTCAGGACTACATAAGGATACACAGAATCAAATTATGACTGAAACTGAGAAGAGGTCAAACCATAAACAAACAGTGACAGTGGAAATTAACAGAGGAGAGTGGAGAGTGACTACGCTAGCAACATTCAAGCATGCGTCTAGTCGGGGCGAGACCCTGGGCTGGACAGCCCGAGAGCCGGGTCTACTGGAAACGTCAGACAACCACCACTACGAGAAAAGGAAATCGAGACAGCAAAAGGATACCAAGGGGAGAACGAGAACATACCAAATCTAGAACAGAGATTGCAGGCACAGCAGTCTGCTGCAGCAACAGAGGGAAAAAAAGAAAGACGAGTGTGAACAGTCGGTTAGAGCCGCACGCCGCGTCGGCACGTCTGCGCGCACGCGTCGTCTGTGTCCGCACAGCCCAGGGAGGGAGGGAAGGACTGCAGCTGACTTCTAGCGCAGGGAAGGACGACGGCCACCCAGTGTTACACGTCTGCGCTCCATCACTGAGACACAGAAGCCAGAAAGCACAAGCGCCCGGGCTGTCTTATTGGAGACTAATATTTCTGACGTGCAAAACAATTCTTACTAAATTATCCTAAGGAACTTCCCAAATACACTAAAAGAGTCTGAAACAGCAGACACTCTAGCCGTTTGGAAAAATCCTGATAGACCGTCAAATAAAAATTCAGTTCAGACTGCCGGAGAATGAAAATCCAAAGGCGGCAAAGCCGCTGCTGACCTCCCACTGCCCGGCCAGGGCCGCACGGCGGGGAACGCCGCGGGCGCCCACGTGTCTGGTGTCTGCGTGCGCACCCGCTGACAGACTGCACCGTGGCCAAGGCTGAGCACCTTCCCTGGAGTTGTGGGGGCAGGGCAACCCACGGCCATGGACACATGCCCTGGGGACCCGTGGCCTTGCGCAGGGAGGCAGCCGCACAGCAGGCCTGGAACGGAATGTCTAGTGAGTCGCCAACAGCTGTTCCTCCGAGTTCAACGGTTCTCGGGATACCAGCAGTGGTCATTCTGCATGGGGTCTGCTGTGGTGACTCTGCTAACGGTCAAGGCCACTGCTGGCGTTCTGTGCTCATCCGAGACGCTGCACTGCCCACCAGGGACTCGGGCTGAACTGAGCGAAGTCATGGGCACATCTGGCTGAGGTGCGTGTGCATTAAGAAGCGTGAACCAGAGACTTCTGGGGAAAATTCAGAGCACACTGAAGAGGGATCCCGCGGCTGGGCCCGCAGAGCCCTGCTTGTGTGAGGTCAAAGGTCACCAGCAGTCGCGGCTTAGGCGCTTCCCACAGCACAGGGACAAGGCTCTTGCCGTCTTCTCTCAGAAGACTGCGCTAAGTGACTGGAAAACGGAAAAGACCCTGAGACTCAACACGACGTGGCCATGCTCCCGGCCAGGTCAGCGACTCCCGACTGAGGGCGCCGACTGCCGTCCCCGCACAGTTCTGGCGCGGACACCAAGAACCCTGCTCTCATCTAGCATTCGGCATTTTAATAATTTATTGCATTAAACTAATTTAAAATTTGCTTTTACTGGAAACAAAAGAGAACAAAAGTTGCTTTCATACTATGGAGAAATATGAAGAAAGAATTCTCAGTATCTTGGCCGGTGCCGCGGCTCATTTGGCTAATCCTCCACCTGAGGCGCCGGCACCCCGGGTTCTAGTCCCGGTCGGGGTGCCGGATTCTGTCCCGGTTGCCCCTCTTCCAGGCCAGCTCTCTGCTGTGGCCCGGGAGTGCAGTGGAGGATGGCCCAAGTGCTTGGGCCCTGCACCCGCATGGGAGACCAGGAGAAGCACCTGGCTCCGGCTTCGGATCAGCGCAGTACGCAGCCATAGTGGCCATTTGGGGGGTAACCAATGGAAGGAAGACCTGTCTCTCTCTCTCTCTCTAACTCTGCCTGCCAAAAAAAAAATAAAATAAAATAACAAAAAATCTCAGTATCTTTATATTACACCTGAACTAGAACTGCTCACGACCGTAACGGATACTTGCTTTATTACCAACAGGGCGCCTGTTGTAAAGGCTGCACTTCTGGGAACGACACTGACGCCTTAATTCCGCATTGTGGGCGGCCGTATGTGGGCGCACAGCGACACCCATGCTTACACGGTGTCTGTGGACCCGGGGGGGGGAGGGGCAGCTCCCGTCCTGGGGGGGTCGGCTGGGCAGCGGCCAGGGCACGTCTGGCCCTCCAAGCCCGCAGGGTTTGCTCTAGCATTCAAGGAGAAGCTCTGCCAACCCCTGGTCCACGCTATTCTTGGTCACTGACAAACACCTTTTCTCAACTGAGAAGGGTTAACTGTGAGTTCTCTAGCAACACAGCGAGGCTGCAACTGGGTCGTCTTTGGCACTCGTCAGCTTTCTGACCCTGGCTCGGCTCACGGACCCGCTGACGCTCAGCTGTCTGTCACGCAGGCGAGGGGCGCAGACAGGCACAGCCGCGGCGGCGCTCTCCTTTACCCGGGCTCTTCGCTCGGCCTCCAGGCGCTGCATGATCAGCAGGGTGTCCACGTCCTCCTCCTCCTCCTCCTCGTCGTCCTCGTCCTTCTGCTTGGACTCCTGCAGCCGCTTCTGGAACTGCCACTCCAGCATGAGCTTGCGCAGCCGGTCGCTCTCCTCGGCGCTGCGGTCCGGCCGGGCCTGCAGCTCCTGGATCTCCCTGCTCAGCATGTCCACGATGTGCAGCTGCTGCTGCTTCTCCAGCTTCTCCCTGGCGTCCCGCTTCCAGGGGTCGGGGGACAGGCTGTCCCCGGAGCCCAGCTCCTCCTTGCTGACCGTGACGTACTGCAAGTCCCGGCGCTCGATCGTGCGGGGCTGCTGCTGCGGCTGCAGCTCCCGAATGACCGTCTCCTGGGGCCGCGGCAGGGAGCTCGGCTTCTCCGGCTTCGCCTGCGGGGCGGGCAGAGGGGCGAACGGCGCCGGCGGGAGGGGCTGCGCGCGCATCTGGCCCAGCTTCCGCTCCTGCTCCCTGCGCTTCCGCTCCCGCTCCTCCTCCAGGCGCGCCTTCTCCTTCTCGTACCACCGCTGGTGCTCCTCCCGCTTCTTCCGCTCCGCTGCGGCCACCTGGGCCGCCTGGGGTCCCACCTGGCCGGCAGAGGGAGGGGGTGGGAGAGGCAGGTCCATGGCCACCCCCTCGAAATCACTGGCATAGTGGGCAGGAGGCGGCGGGGGCGGTGGAGGCAGGTCTGCCCGAATGGGCTGGGAGACGGCCACCGGGGCGGCAGGGACGGCTGCCGGCGTCTTCCACCGGCCAGGGCCGCTTTTGGTCAGAGTGGAGGCCGGGGTGACGGACTTGGAGGAATGGTTCAGGTGCTCCTGGCTGGAGGTGCTGGACTCCACAGAGGAGCTCTGATTGAGCCACATGTCGCTGTCGGCCTTCTGGTCCATAGCGGACTCCACCCGCTGCCGCTCCAGCTGGTAAGCTTTATCTTCCCTAAGCTCCTCCTGGGAGCGAGCGACACGCTGGGGAAAGAAAACGGACCCCCATCATCTCCGAGCCCAGGCCAGAGAGAGTGTAAACCCACACCCGTCAGCCTCGGGGGACAGCCCTGGAACGGATGGATGAGTACGCAGAACGGCACCGAGACCGCCCTGAGGCTCACCGGTTCTGTGAGCAAACAGCGAATTCTCTGCACCACAGACCCGACTGGCCCACAGCGCCCTGGCTGCCTCGGACGGGCCCAGCCACACCGCCCGGACTCCTGGAGAACGGACGTGTCCGCCCGTCTCGCTGCGCGACAGGCACCCGGGGCGACTTCTCTGAGCGTTTCATCCACCCAGGTCGTGCCTGCACCCCACAGTGGGCCTGGCTTTCTAAGCTCCTGGACCAGCTCCACACAAGCAGGCAGGGCAGGCCCTGCTCAGCGGGGGGCTCTGCCCAGTCTTAGGGATGTATAAAAACGCAGGGCTAACACCCTATTCTTAACACTGTTCTCCCGACGTTTGAGTACTGCAAAAGTCCCTTTTCCCTCAGACCTAACTTCAAAAAGGACAACGATGTTCTGAGAACCCATCGACTGCATCTCAGGGCCGCCGTCCGCAGCCTGCCGTGGTCACCTGACCCCGCGAGGCCTGGGGGGCTTGTGGGCCCCGCGTCTCTAACCTGAGCTGCAACGCTGCAGTGGTTACTGTCCGTGTGCACGAGAGGCTTGTCCTCGTAGCTCGGCCACTGGCTGTGCGGAGGGGCCGCCCGGTCCTGAGACTTGGAGGCGGGGAAGGTGAAGTACTCGCGGGTGCAGGTCTGTGTGGGGATGGGGTAGGCCTCGGGCCTGGGTGCAGGCAGCGGCTCCTGTGAACACGGCACGCAGAGGACAGCACGTGGGCCGCGGGCACACACCGCTGCCGCCACTGAGCTGTTCCCACGCTGATGAGCTCTTACAGAGTGTTACATCACACGCCATGTTAAAACTTCAAAGTGTTGGACTCTGTACTGTGATAACGAAAAACATGTAATCCTGCCCAAACCCAGTCATCTAAATCTGGTTTACTTGACTAGTATGCCAAAAATCCAGACTGGATACGGCACATTCGGGAGCCATCAACACCCCCAACTGGCGCCTGGTTCCAGCCCTGCCCCAGCCCGACTTCCTGCTAATGTCCCCCGGGAGGCAGCAGGTGATGGCAGCAGGTGACAGGCTGGTCCCTGTCGCCCACACGAGACCCACATGGAGGTTCAGGCTCCTGGCTTCAGCCTGGCCCAGCCCTGCCTGTGCAGCCATCTGAGGAGCGAGCCAGCAGGTGGAAGAGTTCTGTCTCTCTCACTTTGTCTATCTTTCATATAAAACTGAAAATAAAGAAGCAGAAAATTTAAAAACTGGGAAAACGTAACCACTGCTAATCTCTCGGGTGGAAATGTTCCTCACAACCCTGACCCTCGCGGGCAAAGGCGGGCAGGACGGTGTCTCCCCTGACCTCAGCACACAGGTTCCCCGTGGAGACCGACGTTATCTTGGCTGCTGCTCCAGAGGGGTGCGTGCCCTTTCCTCCAGGGCTGGGGGGCTGATCTGCTGGAAAGAGACAGAAGAAGAAAGCTGAAGAGGAGAACAACAAACCAGACGTGACACGACCGGGTGTCTGCAGGGCTGTGACCGTGTCCTCCCCACACGGCACTGCCGGTGACAGCTCCGGCTGCTCTCGGGGCACCCACAGCCCAGCGGCTGCTGGCACACACTTCACAGGGCCCCAGCGTCCTGTGTCTGCACCACGTCCCTCGGGGTTCCCTCTCTCCGTTAACAGCCTTTAGAAGTGTGAAAAGCACTTCACACCTCCTCTGGGAACCGCCCGCGCCTGCTGGACTTCAGTGTGTCTCTGAATCACGGCTTCCCCAATGCAGCTTGTGTTTCTGCTAGAATGCTGGTGATGACAGCCTTGGGAAACGAGGCCCCGGCAGCAGCTTCCATTTAGTAACAGACAGAGCGCAGAGCGGCACTCTCACTGCCCCGCGACCCCGCTTACTTGCGACGTTGGGGCTGGAGCGGTGATCGGCTCTGTTCTTCACCAGTCTGTCGTCACCAGGCAGCTTCTTTGGCTCACTGTACTCCGCCCAGGGCATCGGAGGACTTTCAGGAGACCCGTTCTGGGCTGAGTTGTTATAGAGCTCAAAACCTTCACTCTTGGGTCGAGGTTTCCCCGAGCCACGGCGATCTGAAACTGAGGTCGGGGCAGTCAGTGCCCCACTCGTGCAGGAACCCACTTTACTCACCGGCAACATCCGGAATTCCTGACGACTGCTGCTAACGTGAGAAATATGCTAATTTTCATAAAAGAATGCATTGTTTCTATGGAATCTTTAAAAAGCTTTAAAATACATACACCAAAACTGACAACATTTTATATCACAGGTTATCAGTGGGAAAAACACACATTTAGTTCATCTCCTCATAAACAGAAACTCTTGTTTTAAGTAAAATGTACTTATGTAAGAGGCAGAGAGACACAGAGAACAAAAGAACATGGCCCCCTCTGCTGGCTCGTCCCCAGATGCCGGTGACGGCTAGAGCTGGGCCAGGGCTGGGCCAGGGCTGGGCGTCAGGGGCACACTCCGGTCTCTCACGTGGGTGGCAGGCCCGACGAGCCGTCACCTGTCCTCCCAGTCTCCATCAGCAGGAAGTCCAAGTTGGGAGCCAGAGCCAGGGCTCACACCAGGCATGCACTGTGACAGGTGGGTGTCCTCGCCGCAGCCTGCCTGCCGACCCCAGTGAACCTGTACTGGCCCCCAGGGCGACCCACGTCACCTCCACGAGGAGCCACACTGGAAGCGGTCACTCAGCTCCCTGCTTCCTGGGGCTTTCTCCCGCCTGCTGGCCCTGTGCGTCAGCTGCTTTCAGCTGCTTCCCTCCTTGCTCCCGACTTAGCCTCGAATTTGCTGCTTTTAAACGCCCGTGAACTCAGAGAGCAGACTCAGGATGTCACGCGTCAAGGCCGGTGACAGGCCGCATGGCTTTGCCAGGGCCGCCTGCTGTCTGTCTCAGCTCACAGGAGGCCCGGGCGCTCAGACACGCCTCCGAGCGCTGACCTGTGACGAGGGGGGCCCTGCCCAGGCCCCCGGACGGCGGCTGCCGCACTCAGCAGGCGTCTCGGGACCCGCGGGAAGGGGCGCGATGGCGGGAGGGGAATGCTCCGGGATTCTGCTGCAGGTTCTGCATCCTTTCAACAAATTCTAGACGTGTCCTCATCCACGGACGCCCTCACTACCCGAGCTCGCTCGGAGCCCCGCGATGGAAGCTCCCAGCACCACTCAGCCGCGGGGGCGGAGTCAGACGGCTCTGGGGGCAGGGGAGCAGCTGGTGGATGCCGGGGTGGCCCCGAGGGAACCCGGCTCCAGGGGAATATGGAGCCCCTTACTCCTGACCCCCGGGCACTGGGACGACCGCCAGTACCCAACTCCACAGACTGTGTGACATTACAACAGGTCACGGGCCGGCACTGTAGCCAAGTAGCCTAAGCCTCAGCCTCCAGCACCGGCATCCCATATGGGTACCAGTTTGTGTCCCGGCTGCTCCTCTTCCAATCCAGCTCTCTGCTGCGGCCTGGGAACGCAGTGGAAGATGGCCCAAGTGCTTGGCCCCTGCACACACGTGGGAGACCCGGAGGAAGCTCCTGGCTCCTGGCTCCTGGCTTTGGATCGGTCCAGCTATGGCCATTGCGGCCATCTGGGGAGTGAACCAGCGGATGATGACCTATCTCTCTGTCTCTCCCTCTTTAACTGTGCCTCTCAAATAAATTAAATAAATCCTTTAAACAAGACAAACCCCTTAACCAGCTATAAAAGACAAGGCACGCGGTGGAGTCAGTAAAGCCGGCGCCCCCTGCCGGCGCTTACTTCTCTGCATCATGGGGGACGGCTGGTTGAGGAGGGTCGCCAGGCCGTGGTAGATGGCACCTTGCTTCGCCACTTCAAGTGTCACCACAGAACTCGTCCTTGTCATGAGCTCCGCAGCCCTGGGAAGAGAGCATCACGAGAGTGAAGTGAGACTCGGGGCTGAGCTGACAGCCACGGCACAGGCGCACAGCCGCGGCCCCGCCCCGGTGACACGGCGCAGGTGCACAGCCGTGGCCCCGCCCCGGTGACCCGGCGCAGGTGCACAGCCGCGGCCCCGCCCCGGTGACCCGGTGCAGGTGCACAGCCGCGGCCCCGCCCCGGTGACCCGGCGCAGGTGCACAGCCGCGGCCCCGCCCCGGTGACACCGCGCAGGTGCACAGCCGCGGCCCCGCCCCGGTGACCCGGTGCAGGTGCACAGCCGCGGCCCCGCCCCGGTGACCCGGCGCAGGTGCACAGCCGCGGCCCCGCCCCGGTGACGCGGCACGCAGAACTCCAGCAAGTGCCAGCAGCACTTTTTTTTTTTAAGCATCAAAGCAGATGCTGTAGACTACAACCCACATTTATATTTGTTAACAGATACAAGTCAGGGACACTCAGAGTCCACAATAACAAAGCAAAGTGTCTCAGCACTATTTTCCATTTTCTAATTCTGAGATTTAATAAAAAATGTCATCTAAAAATGCTAATACTAAGCTTCTAGCAAAGAAGTAAGCCGTACCTTTCCTGAGAGAGTCCGACGAGGCTTCGTCCATCCACACTGAGGAGCTGGTCCCCTGCAGCCAACCGTCCATCCTGCGCGTGTCCAACAGGTGGGGGGGGGGGGAATGGTAAGTACACAGCCTGTCTGCACTGTGCAGTCCCCTGCAGCTAAGTGCCCGGCCTGCACACGTCCAGCAGGGGTGTGGGGTGGGGAGGGACCTGTCTGCACTGTGCAGTCCCCTGCAGCTAACTGCCCGGCCTGCACACGTCCAGCAGGGGTGTGTGTGTGAGGGGGGAGGGACCTGTCTGCACTGTGCAGTCCCCTGCAGCTAACTGCCGGGCCTGCACACGTCCAGCAGGGGTGTGTGTGGGGGGGGGACCTGTCTGCACTGTGCAGTCCCCTGCAGCTAACTGCCCGGCCTGCACACGTCCAGCAGGGGTGTGGGGGGGAGGGATCTGTCTGCACTGTGCAGTCCCCTGCAGCTAAGTGCCCGGCCTGCACACGTCCAGCAGGGGTGTGGGGGGGGGGACCTGTCTGCACTGTGCAGTCCCCTGCAGCTAAGTGCCCGGCCTGCACACGTCCAGCAGGGGTGTGGGGGGGGGGGACCTGTCTGACTGCAGTCCCCTGCAGCTAACCGCCCGGCCTGCACACGTCCAGCAGGGGTGTGGGGGGGGGGAGGGACCTGTCTGCACTGTGCAGTCCCCTGCAGCTAAGTGCCCGGCCTGCACACGTCCAGCAGGGGTGTATGGGGGGGGAGGGACCTGTCTGCACTGTGCAGTCCCCTGCAGCTAAGTGCCTGGCCTGCACACGTCCAGCAGGGGTGTGTGTGGGGGGGACCTGTCTGACTGCAGTCCCCTGCAGCTAAGCATCGGTGGCACCGTGGATCGCTCTTCCACAAGGATACTGACCACGTCCGCCGCGCCTCCTTTCACGACAGACTTCACGTAGATTCCCAGTTTGTCCTGGCCCGCGCCCTAAGTAAGAGCAAGGCAGAAATACCACTCTCAACACAGCCGGGAGAAACACACTGCACAGAGCCCCACAGGACACGGACAATACAATTCCTAGTTGTACAGGAAAACTAGAAATATAGAAACTACGTTAACAGCATTTATCCTCTATTTGGTAAAACTAAAAACAGAAAATGTGTCTATTTTACTTAAAAGGAAAGAATATCTGAAAAATCAGTTATTCATGAACACCCCAGAGCACAGGCAGAGTTCATGTCACAGCTCTGAGCAGCTACAGGCACACGCAGACGGCCAGCTGCACACACAGCGTGTAGCAGGAGCTACAGGCACACGCAAACGGCCAGCTGCACACACACAGCGTGTAGCAGGAGCTACAGGCACACGCAAACGGCCAGCTGCACACACAGCGTGTAGGAGGAGCTACAGGCACACGCAAACGGCCAGCTGCACACACAGCGTGTAGCAGGAGCTACTTTAACACATTTTAATTCATCTGAAGCGGCTTTTCTGCGGGGTCTTGACATTTCAACGTTTACCACGCCCCTCACACTCTCGTTCTTTTCCTACATATCCTGTAGTTCAGATTTTAAAATGGAAAGAAATTTATTGTGGCAAACAAAGATAATTATGCAGAAAGCATATATTATAGGCCTAAATAAATATTAAAGCAGCAAGACCCAGTCCCCATAGAACTGTCTTACTATGTAAGAGTAACGGACCTCTGTGAGCTATGAGTACTGCATTTGTATACACACACGTTACAAAAACCGCAACTCCAGGGCCAGTGCTGTGGCACAGCAGGTAAAGCTGCCACCTGAGACGCTGGCAGCCCACGTGGTGCCGGTTCAAGTCCTGGCTGCTCCCTACCAATGAACCTGCTAAATGCAGAGAAGACGCCCAAGTACCCGGGCCTGTCACCCATGTGAGAGTCCTGGAAAAAGCTCCTGGCTCCTGGATTCAGTCTGGCCCAGCCTCAGCCATCGTGGGTGAACCAGTGGGTGAACCAGTGGACAGAAGACCTCTCCCCGGCCCCTCAACCCCGCTTGTCTGGAACTCTGCCTTTCAAATAAATGAATACGTCTTCTAAAAAGGGTGATTTCAGTAAATCAATGAGAACAAATTTTCTAGGAAACTATTCACATTTTACTCTTAAAACCGACAGTTTACGTGTACAGAGCACCCCTGACCACAGGGCTACCCGGCTCCCTTTCTCTGGGAAGGGGGGGCGGGGTGGGGGTCACGAATGCTGCAGCCACTGCTTTGTGTGCCACCTTCTGGAAACTCACATCCCCTACATTCTGAAAACATCACACAACTTCATTTAACCAAACAACTCCATGTTGGGAAGCTGTGGTTCCACGGCCCACACAGGGTGGAAACAAACACTTCCGTGGCACCCGACCCCGGACCAGCCCCGCTTCCGTGGCACCCAACCCCGGACCAGCCCCACTTCCGTGGCACCTGACCCCGGACCAGCCCCGCTTCCGTGGCACCTGACCCCGGACCAGCCCCGCTTCCGTGGCACCTGACCCCGGACCAGCCCCGCTTCCGTGGCACCTGACCCCGGACCAGCCCCGCTTCCGTGGCACCCGACCCCGGACCAGCCCCGCTTCCGTGGCACCCGACCCCGGACCAGCCCCGCTTCCGTGGCACCCGACCCCGGACCAGCCCCGCTTCCGTGGCACCTGACCCCGGACCAGCCCCGCTTCCGTGGCACCTGACCCCGGACCAGCCCCGCTTCCGTGGCACCTGACCCCCGGACCAGCCCCTCTTCCGTGGCATCTGACCCCAGACCACAGTTCTCCCGACCTGCTCAGCCGCGTCCACACATCTCTCCTAGGTAGCCGCCATACTCCCTGCTCTAACCTCCCACCCAGCCCAAACATGCAGCTGCCTGCTGAACACCAGGCAGGCCTCTCCCTTACCTGTTGTGGCTACAACTGAAAACACACACACACACACACACACCCCTCGATCTAACACAGGATGTTGCGAAACAGAAGGCTGGAGCAGTGTGGGGAATGGAGTAAGGGCTGCATGGGAACTAAATAATTCCTTTTTTTTTTTTTTTTTGGTAAACGTATAACTTTACTAAAATCAAACATTAAAACACGGGTCCGGGGCTGTGGCATAGTGGATCAAGCCACCACGTGCAGTGCCATCATCCACATGGGTGCCGGTCTGTAGCCGGCTGTTCCTCTCCGAGCCAGCTCTCCGCTCATGGCCTGCGAAAGCAGCAGCAGAGCGTGGCAGACCTGGAAGCAGCTCCCGGGTCCTGGCTCCCGGCTCCAGCCCAGCCCAGTCCTGGCTGTTGCAGCCATTTGGGGAGCGATCAGCAGATGGAAGATCTCTCTCTGCTTCTCCCTTTCTCTGTCATTCTTTCAAATAAGTAAATAATTAAAAAAAAAAAAAGTTAAAACAAAAACTGCCCAGCACTGCCAACACCTAGACCCAAGGGCCTTGGATGGCTCCTTCTGCCCTAAATACACACACACACACACACACACACACGCACTCCCTGTCTCTCCTGAACAGCTGGCGAAGCCCGCACACTTTTATATTGACTTTGAAATGTCAAAATAAGAAGTCCGACGTGCAGGTGGCGCCCGCGACGTCGCCGAGAGCCCAGGCTCCCACCTGACTGCATCCAGGCCGGGGCAGCCTCCTTGAGCCTGCGGAGCTAAGGCACAGGAGAGCAAACGACGGCTGAGACGAAACCCCCCGCCCACCAGTGAAACGGCGCTCCCAACCCCCGAGTGACAGCTCAGCCGCTGAATCACTCAGCAGTCGGCCAACCGTGCCGACACTGGCCAACGCAGACAGCGTGGCCCCAGGGGCTCCTCGCACCGCAGGGGCAGCTGTCCAGTGGTCTTGCGGTCGCGTGCTCTCAGCAAACGCACGTGGCTTCACGTCCCTTTAGGCCGAGTCCAGGCCACTCTCTGTCTGCTTCCCACCCGACTGGCGGCCGAACGTCAGATTCCCAACTGGTCCAGTGAAGGAGCCCACAGCAGTCGCATGCCATTCTCTTTTGGTTAATGCAACTCTGATTTTGCAATTTAAAAATAAAAAGCATCTTTTTAATAACAAAACCAATTACTACCATCTCTGACAAGAAAAATGTTTACAGCAATACTGGCAACATTCTGGTAATACTGCTATAAAAGAGGAAATAGCAAGTTTGTGCTTCAGACAGGAAGTCACACCTCCCTCCCCCATCTCTGGTCTGCTTTCCAAGGTCACCGTCAACAAAGACTACGGGGACCCCAGTCACTCCTTAGACAGTGCACCAAGGAAGCCACAGAGCGGAGCAGGGCACGCAGCAGCTCAGGGCCCGGGACTTCCTAACTACGCCACACCTGACACACCGATGACAGGTTCCCACCGCAGGCGCCACACGGGCTGCAAGGAGTGCGTCACAGAACGCGAAACCGGCCACCTTGGCAGGCGGCTGAGAACACTGATGCAGCGTGGAGTTCAGTAAGTGTAAACTCAGACGCCCACCAGCCGCCAGCCCTGAGCGCCCGTGGTGAGTCCTGACGCTCGGCAGGAGGCGGCGGGCGGCTCCTCCTGCCGGATCTGCTGGCCTCCCTTGGCCCGCGTCTCGGGAAATCCTCCTTCTAGAGCACCCCGGCCAGCCTGCGGCAGACACATCAGCCTCCTAGTCACTGGCACCAAGCTGGGCCCCATTCTGTCCTGGCCCCCACCTTGCCTTTGTCTTTCTGATGGCCTTGATCTGCCGGAATCCTCTGTTCCTGCACCCCAGGCTCCCCTGCCAACCAGAGGCCAGCACAGCCGGGGAGGACGGCCCTCCTCCTCGCTGAGGCGCCGGTGCGGCATCCCAGCCACCTGGCACAGTCACCACAGCTGCTGGTGCGGGCGGCGCCTCCCCCGCCTCCCTGAGAACTCTGCCTCTGCCACAGCCGCTTCTGCGGGAGCCCGACTGTGCACTCGGGGGAAGCAGCCCCTTACCCAAGACCCAGCACAGGCCATCTGCCGCTCCACGGCAAGAAGCAACACAAGTGAGCAGAACCCGCGAGCGTTCCAGTCCACGGCTCCAAACGTGCTGCTTTAGCAGGACACTCACACCGTTACTTGCGGGTAGCACACGATGGTAAGAGGGGAGCAACTTTCGTCTTGTATACCCGAAAGTCCTCAATTCCAAGTTACAACTCGTCCTTTGATTCCGAGTGGACTGACTTTGGAGTAAGTCCGTCTGTCGCACTAAGCGGTCTTCAGGGGAAGACGTGCTTGTGATCATCCGAGACCTCCATGCCCGGACCCACCTGAATGTAAAGGCTGTTGGAGTCCGGGTATGAACACAGTGTGATTAAAGGTCGGACAATGCCTCACGCAATACGACACTAAAAAAATACCATTAGAGAAGGGACGTGACAGGAGGGAGGCCAGGCACGGTGTCAGTTCTAGAACATTCTAGGGGTGTGCTACATTTTGGCAGGCACCTGGGGCTCCCAGATGTGACCCCAACTCTGCAGGGCAGTGGCACAGCTCCCTGGCAGCCTCACTGCCCCCTCGGATGCCCTCCCGCCACCTGTGCCCCGGCCATACCCTAGCCACACATCATCCAAGCACAGTGCTGGCAACAATCTCAGAGAGACAGTCACACGTGAGTGACCAGAGTCGACAACAACTAAGAGTTAGTCCAGCCATCTGGATCAAACCAAGGTGGGTAGTTACTGTCAACCCGAACACCACAGTCTTCACCGGGCTTGAACCATGTCCATGGTCTCAGCCTGGTCACGCTGGCCTGGGCTGGCACGCCAGGCGTCAGCTGGGCACAGAGGCTTTGCTGCATGCCCACCGTGTCCAGACACCTGCCGTCTGCGGGGCCGTGAACCCCTGCCTATCTGGAGTTCACGCTCTCCCCACCCACTTCACCTACACCGAGACAAGAATGTCATAACCTAGGACAAGAGACTGTAGGAGGAGTGAAACCTCTTTTTAAGGTCAGATTTCTAAGTAACGACGTACACGCTCATCTAGTC